AGGTAACTATAAGCTATATTATTTACTAATTTATGAAAATAATTTTATATAATTTAATTTATAATTAGTAAAACCTAAGTAAATTTAAAAAACCACCAATTATTTTTAATTATTTTGTTAAGAAAAAAATTAAATTTGAATTCTAAAGAAATTTCTAAAGAAATTTGAAACTAAAGAAATTTATAAACTAACGAAAAGTACAACATATATATAATAATATAATAATATATAAATAATACATTAATATATAATATATAATAATATATAATATAATAATAATTATAATTAATATATATATATCATACTTTTCGTAAATTTATAAATTTCATTATTTTTTACTAGCAAACTCGAATTTAATTTTTTTTTAAATCTAATTAAAAATAATTACATTTTAATTAATTAATTAAAAATTTTGGTAATTTTTTAAATTTACTTAGGTTTGCCACTATACATATATATATAGTTGTTTTTATATATTTTTTTATGTATATATATATATACATTTATATCTTTATATAGTGAAAAATTTGAGAGCAAACTCAGACAGCTTGGGAACGATACAGTCGTACGAATTCAAGCCCTCAAAACGAAAAAATTAGACTTAGAAAGGGAAATCAGAAACTAAAATAATAAATAGGGCAGACACCAAGAAAATTTGGTGCAAAACTGGAGATCTGTACGCAGATCGAAAATCACACGCGTATGGCAAGAAATGCTAGTATAAAAGAGACCCTCCTCGACCGAAAAGAGGGGGTCTTTTAGTCCGTATACTTAATATTAATTTTAGGAAGTCGGGCACAACATTCTGATGACGGTCGTTTTGACGGTACATAAAGTAATCCACCTTCTCACCATAAAAAAAAAAACAAAATATACATATTTTATAAAAAATGATTTATATATATTTACTATTATTACTATTACTATTACTATTACTATTACTATTACTATTACTATTACTATTACTATTACTATTACTATTACTATTACTATTACTATTACTATTACTATTACTATTACTATTACTATTACTATTACTATTACTATTACTATTACTATTACTATAACTATTACTATTACTATTACTATAACTATTACTATTACTATTACTATTACTATTACTATTACTATTACTATTACTATTACTATTACTATTACTATTACTATTACTATTACTATTACTATTACTATTACTATTACTATTACTATTACTATTACTATTACTATTACTATTACTATTACTATTACTATTACTATTACTATTACTATTACTATTACTATTACTATTACTATTACTATTACTATTACTATTACTATACTATTACTATTACTATTACTATTACTATTACTATTACTATTACTATTACTATTACTATTACTATTACTATTACTATTACTATTACTATTACTATTTTGCTATAACTTTTTCTATTGCTATTGCTTAAAAGTCTGATATCTTGAAAACTTGAATAAAAAAAATAAGTTGAGTTACTAAACTAACAACAATAACTAATATTTCTTTAACATTCCAATTGATATTGTATAAGTACCGGATAACGGGACTAATACAATGTTACGCACAAGCTATATATTCAATAGAGACATGTAAACTAAATTAAGTTACTTTTAATGGTATAACCATTCTGAATACGAATTAGATCTGCATCTCCTATCTTTAATTTGCTAATAAGTATCATATTTTTTAATCTTTAGTCTAAACAAAAAATTCTTAAGATAAAGTTTATGCCTAAAAAATCACAGAGATTGAGTATGTATTTTTCTGGTACGATTGGTATTGTAAGATAAAATTTTGATGATAGCAGAAATTTAATAGGTTTAAAATTCTGTATTATAGTAAATGTTTGTTACTTACTTCTTAAGAAGTCCATATGTGTATTAATTATAGCAGCTGGTTTAGTTGCATTAAATCGGGCACTCCATAGTGGATCACCATCAACAGCGTTACCAACGTGAACAGTCATTTGTGTACCAAATCCGCCGTCCTTAACAAGAATACGTGATAGACTCATTTCGTTTTTTATTTTTATTATTCTTATTAATGTATTGCAGAACTTAGATTATCTGTAAGAAAGAAAGTATTCAATAATTTAGAAAATATTACATATATAATTATTTATTAGTTGTTGATCAGTGTTAAAGTTTATAAAAACTATATTTGCTGTCTTTCATTGGCAGATACAACTTTAATTTCTTGCCAGCTAGATTCAGTTTCTTTACATGCTAGACTATAGAAATCAGTGTTTCGAAAACTTATTTATTATACGTTCCAGTTTAAGCCTTAAATATATAGCAGATGAAATAAATATATGTATATATAAATAAATATATATTTCGAACGACGAAATCCTTTACAATTCTGATAAACTATATATATTTGGTTTTTGCTCAATATAAGTTTATGAATTTCAAAATGTACTCGATATCCTGGTCGCTTTAACATAGACTACTATATTGTGCATGTCCTCCCAAACAAAATAATTATTAAAAATGACTTCCAAAAGTTTATAAAATCCTATATAAATACAGATTAATAGAATTAATCTAATAATTAACAATAATTATAAAGAATAATGATGCTATAATGTTGGTGATTTCTAGAATAAGAGATTTTGCAGACTAACTACACAATGGAAACTGCATCATTACAAAGGAAAACGTATTGGTGAACAAGATCGTAGGTATTTAGTTGCGTCTCATTTATAAAGCGATCTGTTTGGTGCCCACTTTTAACTATATTAACCAAGTGCTTTATTCTTTAAACTCAGTTATTTTCGTATTCTTCACCGCTTATCGGGAATTTGTAGATTATTTCTTGTTTTATGGTTTTTACCGCTAAAGAGATCTTACCACTAAGAATGTGGCGAAACAATTGCTACGATACCGCCCTCATAGCTCTAAAATTCTTCACATTTACGAAGCTCCTTCACTTCAACAAGTTGATAGCGTTAGGTATTTATTAAGTATATTTAAAAAAATTAGATCTCAGTTCAAAATCTATATTAAATCTATACTAATTAAAGATTACTTATATATTATACCAATCGGTGTAAAGCTTCGACACTGTCAAAGCTTACTTATTTTTAGTTCAAAATTTTCGAAGTGCAAAGAGATTTAAAATTTTTTTAAAACAATCAATAATTATTATTAAATGTAAGCATTTCTATTTTTAAAAGGCATCTGATTTATAAATAAGTTGTTTGGCATATTATGTGCCCTTATCTGATCGTAAAATAAGGGGGCAAGTTAATATATATATTTTGACCAGTATTATCTTTCAGCTGTTTACGATCACATTTTAAGCTTCATTCACATTTGTGAACGATTAAAGTGAGTATTCTTTATAATTTTTATAGAGGAGAAAACAAAATAGAATTCCGTATAAGAGTATCTTATCAACTACATATTAGAGGTTTAACGCTAATTTAGATATAACAGTTTTAGAGTTAATAGCAACAGCTATTAAGCAATAGCAGAAATAGCGTTCAATGATGATAATTACACAGAGTTTCAAGACTAGTCCTTAGGAAACTCTTTCAGTTTGCTAAGTATTATTAAATTGTTGAAATCGTTATGTGGGCTGTAGTCTATTCATTTGTAGTTATGTCAGAGATATAGTATATTGAGTAATATAGTGCTTGCTATCGCTTTTTTAATAGTGTATATATATTTATTAGACTTCAATAATATAATATTACTTCACAAAGAGTCATCATTGGATAAGGATTACACTCTTATGAATATACGAGAAGATAAACAACGCAAAGAAAGAAAATATGGATAATAGAATTTAGAATCATTTTGTCTAAAAAAGCTCGTCGATTAAGACATCATATGCGTCGTCGACGTGCTTAATCTCTATTGGCAATTGAAGAAGAATTTCTCCAATCTCTATATATTAGACAGATTTAGTACCTTGGTGATCTATCTTCTAAGGGTCTAAGAGCTAATCAACGACAATAAGGTTTAATTATATTGGTGTGATTTATTGGAAAATTATTGTATCAAAGGCATCGTGTTTAAAGAAGTCTATGTTGAAAAACAAAAACAAAAATGAAAACATTAAAAAAATTATTTTGTTGTATTTTTTTTTTAACAACTTATGGACTTCCCCTCGTACGTTAATTTCTGTTTAGCCAACAAACTTAAATTTTATTTTGGGTAATGCAATAATACATGAAAATTAAAATTTTTCTGGAGAGTTAAAATATATAATTGTTTTATAATATTTATAATTTCTCAGTGATAAGCAAACTGATTTGATTTTATAAGATACTCGTGTTACATTGTATGGAAATTTTGCTAAAAGTAACAAAATCTATATTATATATCAGTCGACACCTTCTGCACGCTCCACCGCTATTTAAATTGTATTTATAACTGATTTTTGCGTAGAGACCTTATCAACTCATGAAACTTTGTAGCGCCTTAATACCATGTTAATAATAATATATTTTATTATTTTTAAATATATATGCATATACTCATACATACTCGTATATATTTATTGACACTATCAGCATGCCATATTACATTTCTCACAGATAGATTTACTAAGTAAATTTATATTGTTTTCTATTATTATATATGTACATTGTACATATCTATATATACTCGTGTAATATTACAAATGTATATATATTAAACATATATACGAAACCTTAGCTATATCAGTGAGAATATTAGCTCTATTTACTCTTATGATAGCCTTGACATCGTGTTCATTGACGCCAGACAAAGATTGTCATTTGTTCGTTCTGATTATGGGTTTTTAGTTGGATTAAGTGTAGTTCTAATGGATGCAAGTTACTGGTATATTTAATTTTTATGTTGATTATATGAAATATTCCACAATATTAAGCTGGCTCTCGTAGCAACTGATGAGCTGCTAAATTGTGCATTGTGCAAAGTGCATTGAACTATTATTATTGAAAAAAAATTGTTTAGATTTGAAGCCGAAAAAAAAAATATTATTCAATTCTATTCTAGTTAATTAATTTTGTAAATGATTTATTATAAAATTATCTTTTAAATAAAATCACAAAATCACATGTTTTGTGGCTAGTAATTATCATAAAATAATAATTCTAATAATTATGTGTAAGAAGATTTTACTGGATTCACACGTGCGTTTTGTTTGTAATTTTAGCTGTCAATTGATGCTGCTTTCAATGCAAAATTAAAATTTTTGACAGCTAAAATTACAAACAAAACTCTCTTGTAAATGCAGTATTAACTTTGTAATGGTTTAATTGCAGTATTACAGAGAATTAACGGATTTTATTCATTTATTCAAATGTTCGACTATATTCACTATTTGTACCAAAATTCATTAGAGTATCGAGAACAGTTTCTAAAACTTTAATTTCTCGATATTACTACACTCAGAAATTTAATTTGGTTGATTTATTTAGATTTAACCTGAATCTTAGGTCAAAAATTCTTACTCAACGCATCATGTTAGTTCAACTATACCACATGTCAGTTTTCATATCTTCTTTACCACATGAGGTAAAGATATTCCAACAAAATGATCAGATCAATTTAGCTAGTATGTGGTTAGAGTATATTTTTTTGAGTGTACACTTCGATCCAAATTTTCAACAAAATAATTTTGAAAAGAGTCCCCGGAATATTAAACGCACTTATTCGAAAACCTCATGCAGGTTTCCGTCCAGGACACTTGTGCATCGATCAAATCAACACCATTAGAATACTTATTAAACAAGCCTTTGAACTGAATGCTGCTTTATATCTAACATTTATTGATTTTTAAAAGGCGTTCGACGCGCTTAATAGAAGTTAAACGCTAAAGGTATTCCTAACAATATCATTAATATCCTCAAAAAGAGTTACACCCCTTTGTAAATCTTTTTAAGCAGAGTTTTGTATGAAGGTACTCCCAGCTTTAATTACAATAGTGCAGTGTGATAGAGCTACGCCCTCTCAGCGTTATTGTTTATTACAGTCCTAGACGTCATTTTGAAGCAGTGGAAGAGAGCCCAATCGGTATCGACTGGAAGCTGAACCAAAAGCTTGGTCATCTCGAATATGCAGACGATATAGTATTATTAGCAAACAAACAAACTGATATATAAACTCTCATTAATAACGTATGCGAACAGTCAGATAAAAAAAAAAATGAAAGTGAAAGCAAGCAATGAATCGCCCATCCTTGTGGATGACCATAACATTGAAGATGTGCATGAACTCAAATACCTGGATGATGGCACGTCAATGGATATCGACAGCAGAGTGAAAAAGGTAAAGAGCTCTTTCGCATCGGTTAATAAAGATTGGAAAGCCAACAATGTAAGCATTAAAACTAAAATCCGAATATTCAACGCCTGCGTAAAATCGACATTATTATATGGGTACGAAACATGGTGGCTAACGAAAGCGTCGGTTCAGAAGTTACAAATCTTCGACGAAGAGGAAATTTAGAAACGGAAATATGGATGGCTAGGCCTCACACTGAGCCGACAGATGCGTTTGCTCACTCAGTTATGGAATGGAACCGCAAGAAGTAAGGAGACAAGGTCATCACAGAACCACTTGGTAGAGAACAATGGTAACCGAAGCGAACAAATCCTGTAACAAGCTACAGTTTGCTGCTAGAAACAGAGACGTGTGGAAAAATTTTGTAATAAATATCTGTGAATAGACTAAGTTCTAAATCTAATTTTTATAAATGAAGAATATGTCTTAATAATAACATTTTAAACTTAACCATAAGGCCGAGAAGCGATTAACACTATAAAGTTAAAAAAAGTACTCATAGAATCGAGATTAAATCAGGTGGTTTCGCAATATTCATAGGGCAATGTTATAAAGTCAAATATAGACATGCTTGTGTTACTTTGTTTAAAAAACAGGGAGTATTAGCAATAACAGCAACAGCAGTATTACAAAACTCACTGGAAAATATCTTATTATGATATATAAATAAGAAGTTAACAAATCCGAAGAGAGTGCGAGATATTTTACTATCTTTCAATAAAAAAACATTAGGTGAATATAATTTGTTGAAGACAATTACAATAAAAAGAGACCGAACAGATTTCTCTAAGTCTATTTATGAAATAGGTATGTTACTAATTTCATTTATATTATGCAAGAAATATCCATTTTTATTCAAGAAATGTTAATCGTTTGCCATTCTGCACGGGCGTCGAATTTTTAAGAACGGTCCTGAATTAGGAGTGTTGAGAGGATATATCACGAAAATCAATATTATTTCTTTATTTTAGCAGTTTTGTATGCAGGATTTCTATTCTAAAATTATTGCTTTTCTTACTAGAATATAACTAATAAAATCTATTCGTCTAATCCAATCTAAGCTATAGAGCATCGTTACGAGGATCATCACTTTTAAATAATATTATACGTTTATGCGTTGGTTTTAATTTTTAAAGGACTAAATAAAATTATAATGGTAGATAATATAAAAGTATATATTTAATATAATTGGAAAGCTTACATTTTTATAATTACACGTCTTTTTGTCCTTTGAAACTTTTGATAAATATTTGGATTATTTTTAGATTAAAATTTAATATAAAATTTTTTTTAATTTTTTCACAAATTATTAACAAAAACTTTTTATTGTCTTTTATTTATAGGCTTCCACAAAACGAAAACGAAAACGAGTAAAGTACTCAACCGATATGAACTTGACTAGGTTCGCTAGTTAAATTAGTAGCACCCAATTGTAGACTGTGATAGATGCACGTCTGAAAAGCGTTTGAGTTTCTTGCCTAGATTCCGGTTGCTTTTATAATTCGTCAATATTGTGCCAGAGATGTATACCCATAAAAATTATATACAAGTAAACAGTTTCTACTATCACTACTGGTGTAGGCTTGAGGTCTGTTATCTTTTCGAAAGCAAAAAAAAAAAAAAATAAATAAAATAAACAATTATGAAGTGAAAAGAAATAAAAAAACAAAACAAAACAATTCGATTCTATTCTATTTGAGTTGATTAAGTTTTGAGCCGAGTACAGCTCATTGAATGTCCACTATCAAAACTTATATTTAATTTTTTTTTTTAAGTAAAAGTGATAAGCAAGCAGGCATATGGGCATGGGTGCTCAGTTGTCATTAGCCTCCTACATACAATTATATATGTATATATAAATATATATCCAAGCATTTGTGTATGGAAATAATTCCACATGTACTTTTGTTGTAATACGCATAATAAAAAAATTAATTTATATGTTTCTGTTTATTTATAAACTTTCTATTTTATAATATTAAAAGCAAAAAATATCGAACTTAATAATTTTTTAAACCTTGAAATCTCAGGTCAAAATAGCAGGAGTCTGAAAAAGTATTACAAGGCAAAACCTTTGGCAAATTTTAATTTTGCTTTATCGCTAAACAAGATTGTGCTTAGGTTCCCATTGTCATATTGGCTATCTGACAACAAGTGGCAACAATGTTTTTTGATTCTGTGTGTTGTAGAAATGCATAGATCATTAAAATATATTATTCATATACAATAGGATTAGTTAAGTCCAATGTCGCGGTTCTAGTAGCATTAACCACAAAAGATTGAGCCTGGAGAAATCTTCTTGTGATGAATGTCTATATGATTTTTCTTATTTTTATGGAAGCTGCAGGAAGATAGATTAAACTTCAATACATAACTATTATAATAAATAATATATAGATTATAAATCCATAATATGAAATCATAAATATGGGGTAACTAATTTGAACTGAAACATTTTAGTTAAATTCAACGGAAAAAATTTTAAAGGAAACAAAATATTACAATTATAATACCATGTTCCCACTGCAGCTAAATCAATTTATGTTATCCAAATTAAGATTTGATCGTTTCCGTTGGCATAAGTTCATTTATGCATATGAAAGAGCTTTTATGTGTGGGACAGTTCTGTGAAAGTTCTAGGATTTGGTCTTTTCCATTGGCATAAGTTAATTTATGCATATGAAAGAGATTTTATGTATGAAAAAGTTCTAGGATTTGGTCGTTTCCATTGGCATAAGTTAATTTATGCATATGAAAGAGCTTTTATGTGTGAGAAAGTTCTGTAAAAGTTCGAGGAGAACTTTTGTTTGTTAACATTTTAATTGATAGCAGATATTATTTAGTTTCGTATTGTTAGCAAAAATTAATTAATTGATGAAAATTAAAAAATTGTACATAAATATTGTGATTAATATTTATTTACAAAAATCAAATATTTTCAAAAATTCTTACCTCCTGTTTGTTAAGGATTGTAGCTGTGTTAGGTCAGCTATAAAGGCGTCCTAAAGATTTTGAATTTTCTTCTAGCCATTAAGGGGGTGAATAAATAAGGTAAATCACAGTTTTGCTTTCATTTACAGAGCCATAACCTCGACAAAAATCATTAGGGAACATATCTAGTCTTATAACCTGCTTTCCTAAAATGTCGATATTCTAATATGTCTAAGTTGGTTCTATTTGTTGGAGTAACTTATTGGTATGATTTGCGAGCGTATTTTTCTTCCTAGATCTTCATTATAAACTTCAGGTATTATTATTTAATTGCCAGTTTAACCGTTACAATTTAGTTCAGTTCACTCGGTTATCTTATTTGATTACGAATTGGTCAAGTGCCAAGTTTTTTTTATTAGAGAAGATTACACGAGCTTACAATTGACAACAACAAAATACGCGCACAAAGTTTCTTGCAATTGCTTGCAATCTTGCTATATCTAAGCCATATGTATGATTGCAACGAAATAGAAGAGGAAAAAAACAGCTGTTTCGACATCTGTTGCTGCAAAAACAGCTGTTTAATTTTGATGTTGGAATTCTGCCACAGAGGTGTTCTCGAACTCTGGTAATTTTAGTATAACATTCTTGCATTTCGTGCAACTTGCAATGACTTTGCAAAACAGAGTAAATATCCCTAATATATTTATGAAGGTGTGAGATAAATTTCGAAGCGTCACAAATCGCATTTATTTTGCAATGTCCCTTTGCTTGTTTGTCTATTTATGGATCTTTCTTTTTATCCATCTTTTCGTCTTTTTTTTTATGTGCCTGTCATAACACTTATTGTCTATATCTCTGTGTATTATTATTATCTATATCTGCTAATCTTTTTTTTTGTACTTTCGTTTGTTTATCTGTTAGTAAGCAAATAACTGTCTCTGTTGAATGCAGCGCTTAAAATATACATCAACACTCAACACCACAGATTGATCGTTTTTGCGAAAGAAGTTACGGAAGCAGTTAGATTGTGAATTGAAGACTTGAAGGTCAAGAACTGGTTTAGGCTTTACATCCATATTGGTAACAGTAGGAAATGCTTTGTGGGGACGGACAGACAATTTCATATAAAATGGATCACCATAAGATCATCTGATAGATACAATATGCAATAAGAAATATTTTTAATTATTGAAATACAGTCTAATATTTTGAATACTGGATTAAAATATATATATTTAAAATATTTATGTATTCAAGCTGAAATCGGCTAACTATTGCTTAGGTTCTCAAAGAGAAGAACCATTTAGAATGAGTTATATTTCTTATGTGCTATAAAACCATGGAACAGAATCTGTGTATACGGTACATATCTGATTAAACCGAAGTTTAAATAAATTATAGAGATTTTCTCTAAGCGAAAAGAAGGTTGATTCTAATAGAATTCAGTACAAAATAACGTGTTAAAAACCAATTTGCTCTCAGAATAAGTATTGCATACAATGATTCTTGAAGAAATTGCACTAATATAAACACGGACAACACCCTCAACAAATGTCATCTACTTAATTTTGCCAGGTCTCTCTATAAGTACCTATAAAAATTCCGGTTTACTTTGGAACATATTTAATAGACTATTTATGAAATTATTAAAACAGGATATGAGATCCACGAAAAGAAGAGGACTACAGTAAGTAAGTAGGTAAGTAATGAGGCTAAAAATATTTAAATTCAACCATTAGTAATAGTACTGGCAGTAAAGGCCTTTGACCCAAAGATTAGAAATTATGTTTATGTTTATTTTGTAAACTAATAGAAATTAATTTTGTTAAGATATATAGTAGAAAAATTGAATTAATATCGTAGATATGACGAAAGCACTATATTTAATAAAAATTAGTCATTGAATTTTTACTATTTATATACTAATGAATTTAATATTTCCCAAAGTAGACTGAACTACACGATAGAAATGGGTATTTAGTCCATGGAAATCTTCTCCATTGATTCCTAAGAGGTGGTTTTAGTGTTAAAGTCTCACACTGTGACTGTTAATGCTTTCCACCAACCGCAAAAACAAGAAAAAAATCTAGTTTAGAACTCAATTTATTAAAAAATGTTTGTAAATTTTTCTTTGTGTGTTATCTACTTATCATTCCACGGGTATATAGACCCATGAACTCTGTCATGGCTAGTGATCAACATTATTTCAAAGTGATCATCTGTCAACATTAATAAATTTAATGTTTAAAGACTATTAATGCAGTCAGATCCGTTCTAATTGTAGATCAAGAGGGTTCTGTTATTCTGTTTAAAATAAAATAACAGTTTACCCCAGACTTTGGTGCTACCAATGAAAGTGTTATTAAACAGTGCACTCACCTGAATGAAAGTCATTTATAAAATGTATTTAATACTAGTCGAACTGGACTCTATATAATAAGATCAGGTTCTGCAAACTCGCTAACAGGGACTGTGTCAATACTGCTAGTTTAATAAGCACTTGTATATAGGAACGTATAGAAAATGTTTTTTCTTTTAAAACTTATTGCAAAAATTTTAAAATCTTAGATGAAGAAAAACATTTAACCATTTTTTTTGTGATTGTCACCGTAAGAGTCAGGTCTTTGGGGAAATACTTATATGACAATTTGTCCCACTATTCTTCGCTTTGATTTATAGCTACGTTATAATAGTATCTGTTTAACTTTATGTGCTTACCAGGATAGCGGCCATAGTCTCATGCTTCGGGAGTTGAAAAATCTTGAATAATCTCTATATATAGGAAGTAGAAGCGTATCTGCTGACCTCTCATCACAGCTAACAAGCAATGTACTTACATAACTCCATATATTCTACATTATAATAACAATGACTGCAATGTTATAATGCAAAATATGATTTTATGTAAATGGATTTTTTTTATAAATCGTATTTGGAATATAGAAACATATGGAAGAGACCTGATGGTATTGATAACCTTTAAACATTAAATTTATTAATGTTGACAGATGATTTCATTAAAACAATGCTGATCACAGTTCGCATATTTGTCTATATACCCGTGTAATGATAAGTACAAAGAAACATTTGCGAACGACAATTTTTAATAAATTTAATTCTAAACTAGATTAATCGATCGGTTTACATATAAATATATTTACAAAGTAATAGGAATTTTACATAAAATCATAATTTTATTTTTTTAATTTTTAAAACCTTGAGACGTTATCGGCGGTTATTGCGCCTAACAGTTTTAGAGCAAAGAAATAGACTTGTTATTGCGTCTTCGAGTACATGTCTGGTTTCACGTGTGTCCTATGGTTCATCTATATTTAAATCTCTTCTGCACAATGAAGACAAAAAAAAGCCGCTTTTTTAATAGAACTTTATTATATATAAAAGTAAAAAATTTAAATTATACATATTTACGATACATTATTCACGTATTCATTATTCATAATAGTGTATTTATAAAATCAACTTAAGAAATTTACATAATTATTTATTTTAATAAATATATAAAAATGCATATACCAATACTATATTTTAATTTATTAAATATAAATATATTAACAAATATGTTTTAATTAAAAGGAAAATTTAAAGAATATTTTGTTTGCTTCGCTGTGGGTAATTACTATAAGGAGTAATTAAAGAAAGAAAATTTATTTTTGATAAAGTGAACTATAATACTATCACTATTTTAAGTGGTGAAAATAGATGGACCACACATTAAAGGACCTATCCTACTATTTGAACACGAGATGACTTAGTTCAACAACTCAAATATAAGCTGGAACTAAGTTTTTTTTTATTGAATATATTTTTATGACATAGTCAAATAACTCAAATAAAAATTTAAAACACTACTTAATAGTTTTTTGAAAAAAATTTAAAATATTTGTATATGATTAATAAAAATTTTTTATTAATAACCGATTTTTATTTTAACCTTTATCAGGGCTAACTCTATATGTGAAGTGCTAGATATGCAATCACTATATATTTAATTTTATTAAATATAAATGTAGCGTTTTATTTTTAATCATTTGAGTTTTCATTAACTGAAGTAATAGAAAAAATATTTTTTTATTTAGAACTTATTAATATAGCACTCTCGTGATAATAACATGTGAATTTTTCTAGAACTCAAATATAAAAAGTCCACCAAGAGAACATAAGATGGGTTTAGTATAACAAATTTTTATATGAAGCGAAACTAAGACCCCAATATTTTTTAATATAGTATTAACCTAGTTTATTTTCACGGCTATAGACCATTAATAGAATTTTAAAATAAAAATATATCAAAAATATTTAAAAAATATTAAAATAATTCAAAAAATTATGAAAGCATTTTAAAAATATTAATATTTTTTAAAAAATATTAAAATAATTTAAAAAATTATAAAATCATTTTAAAAATATTAAAATTATTTAAAAAATATTACAATAATTTAAAAAATTATGAAATCATTTTAAAAATATTGAAATATTTAAAAAATATTAAAATAACTTAAATTTATAAAATCATTTTAAAAATATTTAAAAAATATTAAAATTATTTAAAAAATATTAAAATTGTATAAAAAATATTAAAATAATTTAAAAAATTATACAATCTTTTTAAAAATATTAAAATTATTTAAAAAATATTAAAATTATTTTAAAAATAAGCCACAGTAAATAATACTTTAATAATTTCTATAAATAGTATTTATATAAATAGATATAGAAACAGTGCATCTGTATAGGTATAAAAATTTATAAAAGTTCATAATTAGCTTTCAAGATAAATAAATTTATGCGTATATATAAGGTATAATAATATAAAATATAAAACAATAAAAAAGAAAAAAAGTAATAAATTAAAAGTAAATAATAAAAGTAAAAAAATACTATGAAAAAAAATGTTAAAAAAATATTTAAATTTTAGATTGTATACTGCTTTTAAAATATGATACGATATATGGTAGACATTATATATAATTTACAATATACTGTTATTACTGGAATTAATGTTATCAATACGTTCACGTATTTGTTTAATGGAGTTTGGGTAAACCCGACAACAACCACCAATAATTTTAACTCCCAAATTAACCCATTCATCGACGAAAGATGCTAGTGGCTTAATATGATCACCACCTTCCCAAATACCTAATTCGACATTAAATACTTCACCACTATTGCTATAGACAACAAAAGGTGGAATATCATCACCATTTACGTCGTGAACACTCTGGATCAAATCTGTAACGTACTAAAAATAATAATAAAAAAAAAAAATTATAATTAAAATGAAAAATAATGCAAAATTATTACTAATAACAGTTAAAAAAATATTAGATAAAAAATCCAGATATGAAGGGAATAGTATAACTATTCCAGATATAAAAAAAAACACTACTGAAAGTAGTACTTACAAACATTTGAACTATAATTTGTGTGCGAAATAAATGGTATGATTAAAAAAAAAAGTATAGACGTTCGATATAGTGTGATGAGTGTGTCTGTGTGTGTGTGTGGAACACTTGTGAAAAAAAAAATCCGAAAGGAATTGGGACATCAATCCACTGTTTTGAATCATTTCCGATATACTAACTAAATGGTTAAAATGTGTTCTTAAGAAAAACATCTGAATACACAAAACATAATTAATGAAACCTTTTATGAATGGAAAACCATATAATCCGACTGACAACATTCTGCTAAAATATTAATTATTATATAGTAATAATGTTAACATATTTAAAAGTTAAATTTAATTTATAAAACTGTATGAATAAAGTATTTTATTTAGATTTTAATTTAGTTTTAATTAATAGAATAACTTTGGAATGGCATTGAATAAAGATTCTTATTATAAGGTATTAAACTCAGTGTAACTGATGATTAGTGGAACCATTTCCATTACTTTCTTTATTACTTGAGATGTACTCGTAATGTTTGACTCACTACTGCTTCAGCTCACTCTTTAAAAAACAGTGGATGTCTGTTTTACAAAATTAAGACCTATTCTCAATACAAATCTTATGATTATTGTTAAGTTCTTGTATTGTGAAGAGTAGGAAAAGAAAATATGGTACCACCCAACTTCTCTGTTATTGCCCTGAATTCGCCACAATGCAATTTTACTTGTTTAATTTCTATGTAGTAATTGGGTTTTATTATTAGTGTTAATTATTGGAGAGGTTTAGAAGAGAAGTATATTACAACAACAAAGTTTTTCTTATTTTTAACTAATTCAATTTTGAACTAACCATAGGTACATAATCATAAATAATGCCTATACAAAAGAATAGTTTGAAATTTAACAATTGAAAATAACTATAATTAATTAATTTAATTATTGTACAGCTGGTGTATGATTTCGTTATAATTAACACAGTATGTGATTTTGTAAATGAACTTTCACAGCAAATGAACAAAACTCTAAGATGCGAAGATACAAAAAGTCAAGCACGACTTTGAGTCAGTTGACTAACGAACACTGACTCTGAGCTTCATATTCAACAGGGTACGATCTTAACCTCTGGTATTTGTAGTCTTAAAAAATTATTTACTAATAAATAAATATAAAAAATATTTGTAAAAGACGACTGATGTAAGATATTTAACAATACTCATACAGCAATAGCTGTATGTTCGGCCAAAAACTTAATTTGAATTTTTCCCAGATTAAGTATTTTGTATACAATCATTTATAAAATGTCATATAAAACCAAGTGTTTTTTTTTATTATTGAAACGTATTAATCATTCAAAGAAAGAAATTAAAAATGTTGTAATAATTACCTCCGGTTGAACGCAATTAACACCTATGCCAAGGAAGCGATCAATAGCGTCGTACTTCTTAACCAAATCCCAAATAGAGATGGCAGTAAGTGCAAAATTATCACCATTTGCCAATTCTATACCATCCTGTAATTAAAAAGAAAATATTTTTTTTTTTAAATATCTTTTACGTACTTATTTTATGTTATAATTACAAAATAGTATCATAATATAGTTCTATATATTTATTTAATGGCTACAGAAAGTAATATATGCTCTAATGAATAATTGAAATGGTGCAAAAGTCAGGACAATATTAAGCTGAGCTAACATAACTTAAAAACAGTCAATATCTTACAAGAATTTATTGCTTAAAAAGTGTTAGGAGTAATGTAAGTAGAACTGATAGTGAGTGATAGGATAGTGATAATTATAGGACTGATAGTGAGTGAGCAGAGAAATTTTGGAGTAATTTGAAAAATATGCCTACTTAACAGTACTTACTCTGTCTAAACAACTTCTTACACAAAAAGTTAGTGAAATAGTCCAAACAAAGCTCAAACAAGATTGCTAGCAGAGCAATATTTGTAGAAGTCAATAAACATATCTGTTGTTCAAAAAGTTATCCAAATATAATAATAAATATTGAACAACACATAATTTTTTTTATAAGCTGTGGCGTAGCCAAGATTATGCGAACATTAAGGGATATATATGCTGGAAAATATTTTATTGGTAGTGTTTTAGCAGTGTATTATTCTGTAAATGTAAACTCTTTTATCTAATATCTACAATACTTCTGGATACATAAATATTTATAAGTGCAAAATAATATAGATACCTTGCATTGGAAAGAAGTCCAAAACTTTACATGTTTATATTCAGTTAATAACATTTCAGCGACTGCTTCGCCTTCAATCTGTAAAGAAAAATATAAAAATTTATGATAATAACAAGTAATGAGTAATTATTTATAAGATATATTTACCTGACATGGAATAGTTTCCACAGCCAAGCCATCTATGCCTTCTTCCAAGCATGCTTCAATTCTTGGCTTGTGCCATTCTTGCAAATATTCTTTTGTAACAGTATTTGCATAGTTGCCAGTGTACTCAGAGCCATCATGAAGACAAGCACCATATGGACCAATCGATGCCAAAACCATTGGTAGGCCACCGGCCTGCGTTTCACTAATTTTCTTTATTTGATTGTATTTTGCAGCAGCATCTTTTGCAAGACGTACACTTTTTTTGATATGCTGCCAACTCTCAACTTCTGAATAATGCAAATACTTCATTAGTCCGGCAATACTAACTTGATAAGTATTGCTTAGAATTATTTGGGCACCATCTTAGTAAAAACAAGAAAATTAAAATATTATAATTAAATATAAACTAAAATAAATAAAACATTAATATTAAAATATTTTCTTCATATTCATTATAACTCCTCTCCTATTAAGAAAAAAGCAGTTGGCATCTTCTTAAGAGTTATTGCCTTTATATATAACGATAAGCATATGTGTTATATATTAAAGATATTTGAAATAAAAATATTTCAAATATTTCACATTTTATTTATTTGTATAAAGATATTTAAGGCAAATATTCTACGTATTTGAGATGAATACTTTTAGACAGGGGTGTCCAAAGCACGAACCATCACATGCGGCCCGCGACATCTTTTTAATCTACCACAATTACGCAAATTTTCTTTTGTGGACTGGTAAAATTAATTAATTTAATGAATTTAAATTAATAAGACGTTTGAATTTGCGTCTGCGGTCTTCCAATCTGTACAGTGATTTGTATTTGTATTGACCCGCGATTGGTCTGGACAACCCTGCTTTAAGAAATATTCAGACATTTCAGATGGCATATTTGATATAAATAATTTTAAGTATGTGTATTTACCCCCTATTCTGTGAACTTGAATTATTCAGTATATTGATCATTTGTCAAGGTTGACAATTTGCAAGATTGACAATTTGTTTGAAGACTGACAATTCAAGATTGTCAACTTGACATATGTTCTTGATAAATAAAATAAATGCTCCTTACAAGCATTTTTTATTGTTTGTACAAAATTGTCAATTGAATGCATAACAAAATTCAAAATAACTTTATTACCTATATAGCAAATAACAAATTAAAATAAATAATAGCAATAAGGCATCATTAAATGTAATAACTACTCTACACACTACTTTTGATTTTTGTATACAAGACTTTTCACCATAGTGTGGTGAAAAGCACTAGGTACTTGAGGTTTAAAATTTGTCGAGATTTGCTTAGAATTGCAAAATACTTGACAAATTTATCAAGTTCACAGAATAGGGGGGTTGATGTAATTATCACAGATGTATCAGATAAATATTTTGGAAAAATTCAAATAAAAATTTCGAGTAAATTTTATATACCATCACGTTGACAGCACATTGGTATAACAGGGCAAGAGATTTACGTATTGAGAGCTACGATATATATATAAGTGAACACGGAACTGAAACTATTTAACATCATGGAGTTCCATCCGAACACTACCCTAACATTGCTGAAGACAATCTCCAACATTACTGGCATATCTGCGAATATTTTATTTGCACTTCTTATAAAATTTCAGTTTTGTACTTAGATGTCGTAAAAGAATGCTTCTAGAACGTTACTACACTATATGTTCGTATGCAGATATGACAAGACATATAGATATGCTATTTTAATATATTATAACAAAAAAAGCCATATAGAATATTTACTATACAAAAAAATATAATATATTTTATATATATAGGAACGATTAAATCACGCTAAGCGGCTCTATTCTACAATTTCCCCAAAAAATAGAAAGAAAAAAAGGAATAATAATTTTTTAATTAATTTTTTTTATATATTAAATAATTATTAATATATATTAGTACAATATATATATACATATTTGATTAATTAATTATTAAATAAATGTATATTTAATTAATTGTTAAATAAATATATATTTAATTAATTGTTAAACAAATATATATTTAGGTTGGATTGGTTGGATATATATTTAATTAATTATATAATGAATTTAATTATTAATTCATTACATAGAATTATTTTATTTGATTTGCGGAATAAAAAAAAATTATGAAAACAAACAGCTAAAGTTGCGACTTTGACAAGACTTTAGGGGTCTATAACTTTTTCACAGACATTCCAAAGAGGTTCAAAGAAAAATTTTTATAGATGAAATTTTGGAGGATCTTACTATGGAGAACTTCGGACAATTATAGCAATTTATATTGATTTACTTAATAATGATTAACAAGATTCATATCATATATAGAAACAAATCCCTGTGGTGTCATGTAGCCAATTAACATAGGTTGTTGTTGAGTTGATGCTGCATTGTCGACCTGTATATTTGGTGGATTAGTATTATTTAATACATAATAATTGTGCATGGGAGCCACGGTAGCATGCGATAATATATTGGAATCGGTACCTAATGTCCCCCCAATATTGTTCGAAAGGTTTGGATTGGCATTAACATTATTTTCATTTATAACTGCGGCATTTGATCCATATACAGACCCCGTTAAATAATAATTATCAAGAGCCGTTAAGTAAGCACGTATATAACTATTGGTATATGCATCTGTTGGTGTCTCAGCAATATTCAAATTATGAAAATTGGCAGTGATATGTTCCATGTTAATGTTGTTAGCAATACGTTCATTGTTTCCATTGGCCTGTTCCATCACACTATTGAAATGATTACTTTCAGAATTATATTCAATGTTTGGAGATAATGTTGATGCTTCTTGTTGTCTATTATAATGATTATGAAACAGTTCGGGAGTTCTGTTGCTATTGTCATACTCGTGGCTTGTGATGTTCGGTGATAAATAATCAAATTGAAGTTGTGACTGTAGATTTGGCTGTAGTTGTGGCATTAAAACATTGTTATATTCGGCTGGAGAATGAAACTGTGACTGGTTTATAACATTTGGAGATGAGTAACCAAATTGAGGGTGTGATTGATGATAAATTTGAGCAAAATATTGATTTTGACGTTGAGACTGTGACTGGATTATAACGTTTGGAGATGAATAACCAAACTGAGGTTGCGATTGAGGATTACGTCGAGAGCGGTATTGATGTTGATGTGAAGTTTGCGACTGATTTCTAACGTTTGGAGATGAGTAACCAAATTGAGTTTGCGATGGAGGATTACGTCGAGGGCGATATTGATGTTGATGTGAAGACTGCGATTGATTTCTAACATAAGCAGATGAATAATCAAATTGAGATTGTGATTGAGGACGAAGTCGAGGACGAATTTGATTTTGACGATGAGACTGTGGCAGGTTTGTAACGTATGGAGATGAATAACTAAATTGAGGTGTTAATTGAGGAAGAAATGGAGTAGGATACTGATTTTGGCGTTGAGACTGTGGCAGGTTTGTAACGTTTGGAGTTGAAAAAACAAATTGAGGTTGTGATTGTAAAGTTGGTTGTTGTTGTGTCATTTGTCCTTGTTGAGAAAAAACTTGAGGATATTGGTTTTGATGGCGAAACTGTAATTGTGCAACTTGTGGTTGAGTTTGCTGTTGATTGTAAATTTAATACTTCGTTATATACTGTTTTTGTGATAAATTATGGAACACATATTCATTACTTACATAGCTAGGATATGGCATCAAGAGTGATTGAGAAGATTGAAGAATATTATTATGATGATGAGGATCCGTAGGGTTATTATTTTGTGCATTATATGATATTGGAGTATATTGTATTACATTTTGTGGCAATATGGTAATCGGAATCAAGCTAACGTTGAAAAAACCATAAAGATTCATACCATTGTTAATATTACTTACATCAGTTGAAATAGCATTGAAATTGTTACGCTGCGTCTGAAACCTATGAAATGAATTATTGTGAAATGTTCGATTCTTAATATAATTTATAGTAAAATACTCAAAATCCACTTCATTGCTTTGAGTTTCATTTGTAGTTACATTCGCTAATATTAAAAGACCTAATGGTGGTATAGATGGAGAGTTATTTAAATTCATAGTTCTATTTCCTTGTAACTCAGCCACATTAGGTGTGGAGCGAACTTCCGCAGGCCCAGTAGTAATAACACTTGGCACAATGATTGTACAAATTACAGGAATAACAGGAATTAAAGTAATATAGCCATTTGGATTCATACCTCCACTTTCTCGCAATTCACTCTCTTCACTTGAAGAGTCACTTTCTGTAGCCACAGTAGTGTCAACATCCGCAGACACATCAACATAAATTGGTTGAGTAACTGCTGATAAAGATGGGACGTTATTTAGATTTATAACACTATTTTGTCCCAAATCAACTTCATCGCATTGTGGTTCCCTTTCCACAGTGCCGGGAGTATCACTTTGATTTAAATTAGTGTTCATAGTCAAACTTGTCTTGATTTTTGAATATTTATACTTTTTTCGGGAAAATAAAAAAAATTATGAATGACAATTTTTATTTATTATGTGTATCTAAATTTTATTTTCAAATTTAAAAAAATTCATGGTTACTGCCATTTTTATATTTTTAGTATATTCTGTGTGAAACGTAACTCGTATTCAATTTGTATGTAGTGGTGTGAGAAATGTAGTTATTACTGACATCTAAGTAAGAGTACATAATTAACCATAAATATCATAATTTTAAACTACTGAGCTTGAAAAATTGGATATAGATATTCAATATTGGAGATATACATTTGAGAGAGAGAGTCAAAAATGAATGATGGTTAATAAAACTCTGATGGTTAGTGTGTATACTAAACACATATTAATATTAATTAAATTATAAAACATACCGTACGGTATCTGAGGCTCCGATGCTAGTCATCAGTGGCGCATTACCTATAGATCTAACAGCAAAAGAAAGGAAAATAAGGTGCCAAATTAAGCAGCAATAAAATACAACGTTAAATGATCTAGAAATAAAACGACAAATCCAACAACTGTGGCAGCAAAGATGGAATGCAGAAACAAAAGGAAGTTGGACAGCAAAATTGATCCAAGATGTGGTGAAATGGTCAGACAGAAAAACTAGAGAAGTAAACTATTACCGAATTTAATTCATTTTTGGTCATGGATATTTTCAAAAATACCTTTTCGAATTGGCAAAGCAAATGATCCGAAATGCATATACGGAGATGCAACAGATGGAACACCGAAAGAACATCACTTGAAACAATAGTCGGTGAAATAAACGTCGAAAATATCGCAACGAAGATAATATTCTCTGAAGAAAACTGGACCGCTTTAGATCGATTCGTTATGATCATACTTAAACTGAAAAAATATGATATAGAAAATGGCCAATTTCAAAAAAGAGAAAAATAAACAAACCTAAGCGAGACCTGGAGGCAGACTAACGTAGAAAAACAAAATTTTTTAATTGAAAACGAACCTAGGGACCCTATACTGGAAGTATTCCTTATAAAGTTCAAGGATAGAAACGGTCTGGTACATAGTAACGATGTGTTACGCATTTATAAACCTCCTCTCCGCAAAAAAAATAAAAAAAATATTTATATATATATAAATACATCTATTGGATTATACACGAAAATGGATTATAATGGAACTGCTATTCTTACCTGTGTAATGTCAAGTATTGTCGATTAATATATTTAGCTCTAATATAATTTATACTAATTTAGCTTATTTAAGTTCATTTAAATTTAAGATATTAATTTAAGTAGAAAATACTGATATAGGCAAATATAAGCATTAATCAGCATAAAGGTCACCTCATCTGTCGAATATAGAAATGATTGTACATTTTTAATGTTTAGAAAAATAAATAAATAAATAAGATTTCAATAAAAAAGCAAAATTTTTTCTATTGTAGAAAAAAATAACTTTAAAAAGTAAAAGAAACAAATAAAATTGTTCTTCGGTAGTTAAAATTAATTGCTTAAGTTTCCTGTTGATTCACTGATGTTTGTGCCGTAAATATGCCATCATCGAGATTTAATTTTATTGATACAATATAAATACCGCATTGAGTTTTAATTTAAATAATCATAAAAATATTACAATTGCTCAATTTGCAGTTTTAAACAAAGGATGTATCAACTATTTTGTTTATCTTATAAGTTTTTTTTAAAGTCCAATATTCATACTGTCATCGTCAACTTAATGTATTTCTTATTTAAAACGCATATATTTTAGTATTAGTATTTTTAGATAAGCTACTGATACAAACTTATTTGTCTAAATATTTAATTCAAAAAATAATAAACAATGGAAAATATTGAACAAAATTTTAAGCAAAACCCATGTGGTATATTGCGTACATAGTGTCGACATACTATCACTAAATATGGTTAAATCACTAAAAATGTTTGTTTGTGCTCTAATGGATATATGAGTATATATTAGTATATATGATTCTATCTTTATTAGAATAGAATTATCTTCTATCTTTATTAGAATTATTCTATTTACATTCTATCTAACATTTATAGCAATTAGTTGACTTAATTATTTTGTTACGCTTATTTGAAAAATTAAATTAATATTTTTAAAGTTTAAAAAATACTTCCTTTAAATAGCAATTTTTTAAAAAATGTTTAACCTCAAAATCTTTTCACATAATTTAAACAATAATTAAGATTAAGAAGATTAAGGTATACACTGTCCTTCTTATGTTAAAAGTATTAACTAAATATACATACCTATTGTTTTAAATAATACTATTACTACTATTAAAAGAAAAAACACCAATTTGCGCGGCAACTAAAAATCAAAGTACTTTTTAGACGTCAGATTCATGTACCTCAGAGCTAATATGCCTAACAAAATTTTGCATAAAAATTCCAAAATAAAAAATCCTTGTGTGTATGGATTAATGTAGGAATATTATAATTAATATAAAAAACAGATATAAATATATGTATATATAATTGTATATTTACCAAATATTTGTTTTGTAAAGATCTAATCAATAAAAAAACCACAGTTACAAAGAAATTATATATGAATTATTATTCCTTCCTTTTGTAACTTTTAATTAAAAATAACAGTAATTGTTTTATGCACTCAAATATACAATTTTTTTTTAAATAATTTACTTGCTAAAAAATCTACTTAGTTTTCAACTACTGATTTGAAAGTAAGAAAATATAATTTTAAGGGTTTCCCACATATGAAATATTACTTTTCATCAGGTTTGCATTTTTCTTTCAATTAATTTTTACAACAAAAGGAACAATTTTTAAAATAATTTTCATATTTATTTATATGGCAATTTAAATAATTAAAATAATTTAAGCAAGTTCGATCATGAAACAAATTTCACCGGTTAAATTTACATATATATAGCAATATAAACAAAACTCAAAAAAATAGTTTTAATAGCAATAAAATAAATATAAATAGTAGCAAATATCAGCAACAAAAAAGGTATGTCACAACAGCAACACTAATTTGGTAACTTTACTAATTAGACTTTGAAACTATTTTTATAATCGAATCCGAATACCCATTCTTTTCGAATTTTGTTTTTAAACCATAATTTGTGTGTGTTAGTGAATGAGCGTATGTGTAAGCTTGTGAGAATGCATACTTGCATAAGGTTTGCATCCTATTACAAATAGCGAGCTTACTTTTTAAAGTGATTCGCTATTTGTTAAAGTGATAGAAGCATGTAAGATACGTATAAACAAGAGTACAAAAGGGAAAACAAAATAATTTCCGAAAACGAACACTAAAAAACGAAAAGCGAAATTTCTAAGAAAATTGAGTTCAATCGTTACAGCTGTTTCGACGGAGATCTTGCAGTTTACTAGGCAAGTTAAATTAACTGAAAAAAATGCCTCCTATTTATGCAGATAACTTTTGTGAAATTAAAACTATTGCATTATGTTCTAATGTCGGTCCTATATTTGTTACTAAGAGTTATCCTCTTAAATTTATATAGAAATTTTAAAATCATAAAATAAAAATAGTTGAAGACGCAATGGTAGTCGGAGTAGCTAAAAACAACGCTTTTCCTTCGTGTGTTTTATCGTTTCTTTCGTATGTTTTCGCGTTTCCGGCATATTTCAATATATACAAAAATACAAAAAAAATATAAAAAACAAATATAAAAAAAAAATGGAAAAAAGGCTAATATTTAAGTGGTTAAAATAGCATAACTATTAAATCCTTTACCATATGAAGCATGGATTACAGCGTACTAAGGTATTTTCATTGAGCTTACAGTGTTTACTTTGTATTGTAACAATTCCAACAATTTCTGCGTACAGTATATATGAAAATCTTTCAGTTTATGAATGAAACTATACGTATGCACTAAAAAATGTTGAAATCATACATAATTATAAGTTTGCCTTATACTTTTTAGGATCTAATAAATGTAAATTCTGCAAATGTTACATAAATAACTGACGAAATCCTGAATAGCTATGAAGTCTAATTTTTTTTTTTAATTTTTTATAAATAAATTTAAATTTTTTTTAAATATATGTATATATATACAAATAAATAATATTAAAAATGATCCACAAACGCCTTATTAAGCTTTAAGAATTTTTGTTTACATCTTGAATTTTTGTTTATATTTTGAATGTTCAAAATTTATAAAACTCGCATAGTATATTTTTCTAAAAATCACATTTATTTAAAAAATACACGTTTTTAAAAATTAAATAAAATAATATGCATTTTAATGTGAAAGCATTCTACTAGTAATTTATGCATAAAAAATTCGATTTATTAGTAAAGGAAATAATTTTTGCCTTTTTTAGTATGTAAAACATTCCTTTTCATTATAACACAATTTTTTTATATCTAATAAATATCATAATTGTTAAGCAATGAAATTCATTTGGAGTAGCAATTAAAAATAAAAAAATCGAACTAATTCATTCAGTAATTAACTCATAATTTTCATCTGAACATCCATAAACGCCAAATAACTAACGCATCTTTTCTAAGAACAATTATTTTTTTTCAAGGAAATTAAACTAAAAACTATAAAAAATTAAATTCTTGTAGTTATTATAGCGTTTCCTAAGTATTTATTATAGAGATGCTAATTAAATAATTTTGTATTAAATATTACACAATTATATGTGATAGAAAATATTTATATAGATATAATTTTATACTTACTCATTAAAGCATCCATATGGGTTTGCAAAACGGCTTCAGGATTAGTTGCATCGAATTGAGCGCCCCATAATGGGCCATCGTCGTGACCAACGTAAGTTGCCAATTGAGTTGCGAAGCCACCGCATTTAACTAATAGTTGAGAATTAACGGACATTTTTTTGGGTATCGTTTCTCTTTATTAAATAAACACAAGTAGAAGTTGTTATTTCTTTATGTTGAATTTGTTAAACACAATTTTAGTTTAATAAAAAATTAAGTTCTTTTACTAATTTATGCACAATTGAAACCGTTTAAACTTTTTCACTTTAAAATAATTAAAATTAAATGAAAACAATTAATTTGCAACGCAGGACTCTTAAGAACCTCTCAGTTCAGCTTCACAATAGAAACTAACAAAAATTCTCCACAGAAGTGTTTTCCTTGCTTTTTGCACGCATGAAGTGCCGCCAAAGCCAACCAACTAAAAATTCAAATTTATCAAAATCGCCTTTTTTGGTTTTCTATAACCGTCACTTTTTATATTCGACTATTATTCTTGTTATTAAACTATTAGCTTCTGATTTTTTGTTTTATATGCACTTGTTATAAACTGTTATCGTAATTAAATGTTATATTCAATATAATTTCACTTATAAAATTTAAATTTTAAATAAAACACGCACTGATCTCAAATCGTTTCACACTATTTCGCTATAATCCGCTATTCTGTCTGATTAATTTTTGTTTTGTGCATTATGTTTTATCTCTTCTTCCGTTACAGAGTTTTTCCAAAAAGATTTGCATTAAACACTTGCACTAGAAAGAGATAAATCTAATCAGAAATGTTTTTATTGGATTTTCTGCGGTAGCCAAAACTGGATAATATTGTATTACTACTAAATGGCGGTAAAGCGAAATATACATACACATATGCACATGAAAATGTGAATAGAGATACAATCACACATTTTTTTTTACTGCCAATGCATTAAATACTAATTTTAAAACATTTCAATACATTTTTTAATATTATTTGTTATTATACGATTTCTTGTGCATATATGTTAATTCAATAATTACGATATACATACATATGTATAAATCACACATACAATAAATAGAAAAAATCATTCGCCTTTATTTCCTTTTTAATATTAAGACCGTGTGTGAGTTCTAGTAAATTGATGGTAAACTGAGGGAAATAGTTAATTATATTGGTATGGCAGCGAATGTTGGTATTTACCAAAATTTCGAGTAGGGCAAATTAGATAAAAATTAGGTAAATTAGGTATTACCATTGTGAAAATTTTATAGGATGTTTAATAAATAAATAAATAAATTTGAAAACTTTTAACAAAAAATAATAAATAAGTGCAATAATAAATATTTTGCATAAGTGCAGTGCAAAAAATCCCTAGAAAATTTTAATTTACTTTATCTCAATTTACACGAACTCTCACACGGCCTAAATAAATTGAATTGAATTCCACTAATAAAATGTTTAATAAATTTAATTGAAAACTTAATAGTTTAATAAAGTGAGAATAATAATAAATATTAAGGGTAAGTATAATAAGTATTATTACTATAGAATTTTTTCTCGAATATATTAAAATTAAAGATATACAAATACATGGATGTAGCTGGTATCAATTTTTATAAAAACTTACAACAAAGAAACAAAGATTATTTGAATGAAATAATTGTAACAATAAGGTAATACTATATCATATCTATAATTTTATAATTTAATAAAAACATGGTTATTGCATTAAAATCAATCATTACTGCACAAGACTGCAATCTTCACGACCAATTTATCACATATAATTAATGACATTTATTATATTTTTCCTTATAAACTGTTTAGAGTTTATGGTTGATAGTTTAGATATACATTTAGAGGGAAGTATCGCTTTATATGAGCCATTTGTTTACGTTATTGTAATAATTTAGTGACATTTAGTGACTATGTATTCATTATAAAGGATTACTACGTGAACACTGGGCTACATTAATATAATAAATAATTGACATATACTATATATTCATTACAAAATATTACTTCTGACATGTAATATATTAATGACAATCATCAAATATATCATACATATATACAGTCAAACTCCTATAACTCAAACTTCTATAACTCGAATTTCTCTATAACTCGAACTAAATAGAGTGCAACAAGATTTAGAGAGCGAATTACTTACAATTATAAAAACGTTCTTTAACTCGAAGTCTCCATAAGTAAAACCTTTTCTTGGCACAATAATACTTCGAGTTATGGAACTTTGTCTATATATACAGTAAAACTTCCATAACTCAAATTTTCTATAACTCGAACCAAAAACAGTGCATCAAGGTTTTAGAGAGCAAATTACACGCGATTCTGCTTCTATGACTCGAACTTCTATAACTCGAATTTTTCTATAACTTGAACAAAAATTTTGTTCCGTGCCGATAGGAATATGGAAAAGTGTATTCTATATGTCGAATTTTTTCGGTGGATGTAATTGTTCATCAGCCTTCTAAGAATGAAGTAGAAGACTCATTCAATATTCTGAATTTATATTTGCAAAGGAATGATAGTACAACTGATGATCACTATAAGAGCGTGAATAAAGTGAAATCTCTTTTTATTGAAAATAAGAAAAAAAATTAAAGTCCCAAACCCCAATTTCTGAATATTTTACTTTACTATAATTTGTGTGTTTTATTTGATTTTGATTGCAAATAAATAAATATCTTTGCAAAATTGGACTTCGAGTTATGGAAGTTTGACTGTATATATATATATATATATATATATATATATATATATTTGATTTTTGATTTTCATAGAACGATGATTTTTACACCTAAATTATAAAACTTTATTAGAGAATTTTTATAACTGATGATGGTTTTTGGTAAAACCGACTATTATAAGCAAGTTTTTTTTTTACGTTATATACAGACATAACTTGATTCCTCAATTACTGTTTTACACACTCACATTGACTAAGCCATACTTATATCTCATTAGAACGTATTTATTAGAATATTAAGCACAATCACTTAATTCTTAAGTGCTTGACTAATTGCTTAATTCGACTATTCTGAGCAAGTTTTTAAATTACGCTACAAAACGATATAGCTTGATTCTCTAGATACCACCTCATGTACCCGCCGTGACAAAGCCAATGTAATAATTTAATGATATTTATCATATTTATATGTATTAAATTTTTGGTTTCAATAATAAATAAAATGAAAATAATATAGTTTGTAATGTTATAGAGTAGCTATATAGCTAATAATTTATTATTTAGGCAATTATTCTTCATGGTATTTATACTTGTTGGAACAAAAATCTATTAAATAAGAAGATATACTTTTAAATACCATGAAATTTAGTCTCAGTTTATTAACTTGTTAAGATGAGAGAATGATTAAAGAAAGGTTTATTATCATCCTTAATAAAAAAGTTCTGAAAGTATTAAAATATCAATAAATAAAGAAATAAGTAATTATGATTGATAATATTTTCAATAAAAATGTAAAAAAAAGGTCGATGTGGACAATACTCCACCCTCCCTCACCTCATAGTCCACTCGTGTCTAAGTATTATAATATAGGGTTAAGCGATTGAAATATTTTCAACTACACACAGGTATATCTATCAAATTGATATTGCCAACTACGTGAAATTCATACGAATGATATATGTTTATATTGCTTACAAACTATCACAAGCATTAGCGTTTAAGTTTTATAGAACAAAAGTCATTCTAAATGGAATTCAAACGTAATAATGTACGTGCGTTATATTTGGTTGGAAAATCACAACCAGCTATTGATCATGAACTCAAACACCTTGAAAAATTTTTAAACTACGAATGGCCACCCGAAGTAATTTTCCATCTCAAGTAATGGTATGAACAGCTTTGACAGCCGATGGACGGTCTTCAATCGTTTTCATCGAGCCTGGTGTCAAAGTCAATGCGATTTATTACAGGGAAAATGTTTTGGAAGTTGCTTTAGAGCCGTGGGCACGCAAGCATTACGGTCGCAGACCATGGGCGTTCCAACAAGACTCGGCATCGTCTCATGAAGCTTGTGTGTATTTAAAAAATCATGTTCCACACTTCATTTATTCCACACAATGGCTTTCGAATTCCCAGATGCAAATTCGATATGGAGAACAAGATGAGGAATAAAATATATGCTAGTATGGATACGCTAAAGAACGCCATTGTTCAGGAATGGGCCAGAATACTGGAAGATCACATTCGTGCAGCATGCAACTCATTTTTCAACCGTTTTAAGGCCATAGTCAAAGAAAAGGTGAGCATATCAAGCTAGAGTGAATTGATTCTAAAATTTTGATTATTTCCACAAATTTTTTAATTTGAATCAATGAAAAATAATTTCGTACAAAAAATATATAGTCGCTTGAATAGGTAACACTTCAATCACCTAACCCTGTATGTTAATTTGAAATATATTTTTAAAGTGATTATAAGTATTATTGATTATATCAAAACTATCTATTATTATTCTTTGCATCGATAAATCTTTGGAGAAATTACTGATTTTTCTTTATTTACTATATCCATAAAAAAACCTAAGATCATTAAAAGAAATAATAAATTTTATAAGTAGAATTTATTGTAAAGAGGTGGTGTTTATTATTAAAGTTATTATTCATATAAATTTTTCAATAATTAATCTTCTGTAACTTAAAACACTTTTCATAATTTTGTACAGGTTATTAGTATTGCTACCCTTTAATAAGAATTTAACTTCTTCTTCGGACAGAAGTGCTTTATTAACAAAAAAAAAATTTTCTATATTCTTTGAAAATCGGACATACTCCAATAATATAAAATATATTTTTTATTTCATAACGATCAGACAAAGAACAATCATGTTCAGATATATTAAATTCTCTGGCGTTTATATCTAAAACACCGCCCCTACATTTAAGAAGTACGCTCGATATGTACTGAGTAGTTTCGTAATAAAAACTATCTATAATCTCATATTTCAGCTGTGGGTACATGTCATAAGATCCCGACCTAACATTCACGACAAAGGAATCATGTTCAATTCGTTTATATAAAGTTATTATATTATATTGTGTAATTCTTTAAGATCTATAATCCGAATATTGGTTATTAAAAGACCCAGTGAAAGTGAAGTCTTTTATTATCATTACAATTACAAATGATCCATTTCGCAATAAAATACATATTATCTAATATCAAGTATGTATGAATTAATGAATATATAATATCTTTACTTAAGAACATAAGCAAAATACATGCAATACAAATTTAAAAAAAATTTTTTTTTTACGCAAATTAAACAACAATAATTCACATTAAAAACATTTCGAAAATGTTTTGCTTGATAGACACTAAAATGTAACTAACTCAAATACCTTACCTTTGATCGCTACAAAAGTTCACTACCTTCGTACAAAGATCATTAAAAAGATACCGACCTTGATGAAAAGAGCGTTATAAAGTTCACTTGTGAACTTCCTTTGTGAAAGGAATACTAACGAGAACATTAAAAGGTTTACGTGAGATGTCGAAAATAATACACTATAATTTTAGAGTTTAGAGACACTAAATAAACACTAATTTTGTTGATGTGTTGTGGTTTTTACGTAGTATACCTTTCGTATAGTATTTTTTTAACGAAAATACAAAACAGTACACTATTTTTGGAACTTTATAACATATTTTCGTTCACTGTTTATTTGACTTTATAGACGATTGTGTTAAATGCAATAAATGCAATTCATAAACATGTCATTATTATTGACATTACGAAATTTCAAAATAGATACCACAGAATACAATTCCTTACCATAATGATTACTTACTTCATTTCTTCAGTACCTACCTCAGCCAATCGTTTTCCAAACTATAGACCAAATAATTTAAAAACGTTAATCAGAAATTTATTGCTAATTTTCTTTAACGTTGCAGTTAGTTTTTTATGCTGCTGAATGACTCTTTTTTTTGTATCTGACTAAAATATAAATATAATTTAATTTGATTTATTCACACGAATATATAACATTAAAAACAATTATCTATAATATATAAAATTGAAAAAACATTAAGTACGGTTCTAGAGTAACTACTAATTCAACTAATTAGACTAGATTTTAGCTATTTTTTTTCTCCAATCAGTTCAGTTAAGTTGCTATAACATTAAGCACTTATTATCATTCATCATTTAAAATGCTAAAGTACTAGTTAGTTGTAGACATAGTTTTTGACAACTTATGTGATTTCATAAAAACGTTAATCTTATTATAAATATGGAAAAACAATACTAATATCAGCTTTTTAAAAAAACTTAAACTTCTCATATAAGTTCTAGTTAAAGTAGGTATAGTTACCAAACTTTGAAAACCTTATTTGTAGAAATCATTGGGACTTTTTTACAGTATTTACATACATCTAAAAGTTTACTTCGAGACGGGTCGAGAAACAAATTAGTGAGAAAAAAAATAAAACTATGAGCAGTGGATATAGTGTTGCGTCTCCTTCTCCCGAGAAGGTAATATGCATACAATCAATAATATAACTCAAAAGTAATATAATAAAAAGCGGAGCAAAGGAATATGCTGTTCCCAGATGTATGCAATACAAGCATAAATATTATTCCATTATATGAAACATCAAAGAGTATCATTGCAATCTAGTCAAAAACTCGAATTTTTATAAATCAATGTTTAAGTCGTATTCTCCGCATTTTATGGTCCCCAAAAAATATTCACTACCGAACTGTAGGCTTATACAAGCTTAGAAAATATACGAAAACACAAACGTGACTGGATTGGGTCAAATTTGCAGAAGACCAAATAGCAATATTGCTATCCCTAAAGAGGAATCTTTATGGTTTTAGATCACGTGGTAAGCTTACCATGATTTAAGGAATATTTAAATCCGAAATAAACAATGAAAATTATTTATAATATGATATCGTTGTCTTCTTCCAGAATAAAGTTGGATTTAAACTGAATACAAAGGTTCTATGCCTCAAATAGAAAGATATGTATGTGATACATACATAGTCTCAAAGCGACTATAAATATTTATGACTACTAAATAAAAATATTGAATTTATTTTTATTAATAAATATTGTATATAAACCTTTGATCTATTCCTGAGTTGTAAAGCCATGAATAACAATTAACACATTTTTATAAAGTAATATATGAATAAAATATGTTATGTGGTAATAAATTTAATTATTGACGAGTGATGATGAAGACAACTCTTTTAATGATTAATATTAATAACGTTCTAATTGTACAAAGTAATGTGATCTATGTATAGAATATATAATAGTTTGAAATTTTTCTCACAAAATATATGGTATATAGAAATTTATATAGAAATTTTAAATCAAAAATATTTTTTTGATAAGCTTAGTTATCCATAAAGCATACTCTAACCTTCAGATTAGATCAATTTTATTATCATCAGCGATATAAAAGGTCTTCTCTGTTTACCCCAACATTTGTGTATAAAACTAAAAATCATATTTAGCAGATATATCTCTCTTTATTTTCAAATTTAATATACATTTCTTTTTAATTTCTGATTATTGCTTTTGTTCATATTTCATTTTATTTAATATTATTTTTTAATAAAGTTTTAATGAAATATTTTTGTGCTTTTATTATTTAATCTAATTTTTTTTAGTTTACTGTCCTGTGTTCATTATTAAATTTTATTTATTTAATTTTTTTTTACATTATACATAGATTATTAATTATAATTTATATTAGAAATTTTTATACTCTTACATATGAAATATTTAACAAATGTTAAATATATATATATATATCTATATATTTATATTTATATGTAAATATATTTATATTTACATTTATATTTATATATATTATATATAAACATTACAATATTTTTATATATTTATATTCATATATAAATATATATATAATATATATAAATAATATAATATTATAATATTTATATAAATATATTTATATTTTATATATTATAAATATATTTATATTTATATATATAATATATAATATATTATAATATATATATATATATATATATATATATATATATATATATATTACGAATTAAGTTTAAATAATGCAAGTATCTCGATTGTTTTGTTTCTTAACTTTTCTATTTTTTTAATTTATTTATTTTATTTTTTTATGTTATTCTTTACTTTCTTTATTTCTTTGTAATTTTATTAATAATAAAATTTAAATAATTTTCTAGTCAATAATTTTTAATTACTAATATACATAGTTACTTATAAATAAATATTTTTTCTGTTACGCATTTATATGTTATAATTTGTACAATTAAATAAGGCAATTTTTAAGTTTTTTTTTATTGTTAGCTTGTTAGCTATGTAGAATGATTATAATATATATAACATAAGCAATGTATATGCAAAAAACAACAACTATGATTATAACAAGTTCGATTTCTGATATAAATAATTTTAAATAATAGTAGTTCTTAAATTAAATATCTTTAATCACTTTATATTTAAATATTATACAAAATCTATAACAAATGTTTATGACTAATGTTAGTTCTAAACGTATAGATTCAATGTTGCTTTTAAATTAAATACTATTTAAATATATTTATAATGGAAGCCTTTTTTTTTACTTCAGAAAGTTAGTGAAAGATGTAGAAGTTTGTTACACTCAAAAACAAAAAAAAAATTATAGTTATAATCTATGTAAGGACTCTACTTCAAAAAGAATTTTTTCAATTTCCGTTAACCATTTGGCAACATCGACAATAGAATGCTGTGTACGTATGCCGTCAAAAACTTTACTGATCACAGGGTAAGTGAACCAAGCAGACTTTTCGAAAAAACCCATGGAAAACCTACATCAGTTTTTAACAATAATACGAGATATTTATATGCGCGATATTGACAAGTTATAACAGCAGACAAATGCGCTAGCGTGGTTACTTTAGGTTTCAATTGTAATCTATGTGATAGGTTCTAATAAGTCGGTGTCTACTTTCCGTAACCATTCTTCAACATTGTCGGTGAAATGTCGTTATCGAATGCCAACGGAATTTTTCTTGGTAAACGAATTTGTTCTTTTCTTTTAGCGTCAGCTAAATTAAGTTGTAAATGATTTATTATTTATTTTTTTTTTCGGACTCATTTCAAAATAAAAATAACACTGCACTGCAATACAAGCATGAAGACGTCATAAAATAAAAATACATCGTCACATAATACTTTTTTTTTATAAAAGAAAGACTACAGATAGATTATGCAAAAATTTAAAATATAAAACTTGGAAATGTCTTGAGTTACACATTCTTAGTATGAAGGCAATCTAGTATCCGTGGAAGTCCCCAATATAATTAATTTGATTAAATGAAAACTTAAATGAAGCATAGCATCTAGTACCGCCAGATGCATACCACCAGATTAATTAATGTTCTTTTTAATACTATTCCCACAATTATTATTTCTTTTCTTTGCGCAACTGTTTAGAGGGAACTAGTGTTTTTGCTAACATTTTTCTTTATCCCTCTCTAACCACCATTTCTCTTATTCAATCTAGTACTCCTATTATTTTTGTTTTTGTGGAGTGTTTTCTCCTTTTTATGATGGCCACTCTGAAAATTTTGGTTTCTGTTCAATTAAACGGCATTTGAACTACATAGCCGAATCAACTGGGATTTGACATCTTAAGATGTAATAAATTTTGTGAGTGATGGTTTTTTTTTCTTTTCTAGACACTTTATCTATCGGAAATATACAAAATGGAATCTCAATCGCATACGCTTATTTTTAATTTCTTGGTTATATGGAATTTGATATATGGTTATTTAATTTGTAACAAACCTTCTGGATCTTCTTAAAACCTTGGAAAAGAAGTAAATGAAGTTATAATAATACATTATCTTATATTCTATTGCACAATCACATTTATGATAGAATATGATAAATTATTTTTGTAACATAGTAACAAATATCGACAAATAAAAAACAATTATAAACAAAACAAAGAAATAACTTTTTAATGTATAAATAAATTATGACTTTTTGAAATACATTTTATGTATAGTATATTATATTGCAATGACTATATTAATAAATTGATTCAATAATTAATATAATTATGTAATTAACATGAAAAGTCAAAATGAGTACAAGTTATAATATTAAAATTATTTAAACAATTTTTTAACGCATATGTATATATATATACAAGTACTTATATATAAAAATGTATTTTGTAATTATATTATATTAAATATACACAAATGTTAATATTCTAGGTACTCAAATATTTTTAATGTACAGGAAAGTATTAATATGTTAACAAATATTTTAAAAAAATTCATAAGTAAAAAAAAAATATACCCGGTACATTATGTATCAATAGATTAAATATGTTTAATAAAGAAAAAAAAATATTTTCATATCATTTTAATAGAAAAATCATTTTCTATTTTTTTTTTTTTGAAAAAAAAATTTGAAATAAATGTATCGAAGGATCTATTTTTTCTATTTAAAATCCATTTTTTACGCAGAGAAAATATATAGATATATACTATAACTGATAGATTACAAAAAATAATTTCTATAATTTACAATTAATTATAGTTATGTATATTTTGTTTGCAAAAAAAAAATTTAAATATTTTTATTTTCGAATTAAAGAATTTGTAATATTAAAATATTTTACTTCTATTTCGCTAATACATAAAAAAAAATAAAAAAACAAAATTACTTACTGGTCACATATAGACAGGCTACAAAGTTATTCCTTTAGTGATTGCATGTATGTTATATATCTACACTCTACAAAATAAAATTTTAGGGTCTTGCTTGCACTTCTCCGATAACTATGTCAGAAAGTTATTGCTAAGTAGTGGAAACATTACATCCTTCTATAATCCAATAGCTATACACTATCGTCATGAGATTATTGCATGATATAACAGAATGATGGCCGACCGAAGACATAATTATCAGCTGTACGATACCAACTGAGCATAGTTAATCTCTGGAGTCAGGTGTTATAGGTAGTATAGATTTGGTGTGTCTATCATTTGTGGACTGATTTTAAGATTATTTATTATTGATTCAATGAAATTGGTAGAGCATTTATAAAAATTATAAAGTTTAAATCTAAATTGGCAATAACATATTTATTGTGTATCATTTATGGTCTCTAAATGACGAAATTAAGCCGTAAATTATTACTAATAAATGTTTTCATTATTGGTATATGGAACAAAATAAAAATGTCATATTCATCTAATGTCACTCGAACTCATAGTGCATGGCTATGGTAGCCTCTTCCACATTGAGAAATTTAAAAATAGAAGGTTAAAAATGACGGTTATAAACATAGTTCCAAAATTTTATATCCAATGACAAGAAATCTATTTTCGAAAAGCAAAGGGGTGAACGTGAGAAAACAAAGTATCAAAAAAGACTAGATTTATTTATGGAATATAAAAAAAAAATATATTTTTGAAAAGGATTGTGTTTCTTATTCATTACTCCGCCATTGCTGATCTCAATGTTGGATATAGAAAGATAAAAGGAAATATGTTGGCCATAAGTTCATGAGTTCGTGGATTTAGAAAAAGTGAAGAATCACATTCTGAATTATATTTCAACTCTAGCACCAAGGTCAAAGCTATAGTTTTTTTTTAGTTCCATGCGATTGTTAGGGATGGCAGTCCGACTAATGCTGAAAGTTATGATTAGGTTTCAGGCAATTAGACTCTCTTACTTCGTATAACAACTATTGTTACAAATGTCGAGCAATGGATGTGGTAATTTCATTTATTTTGCAATCGGGAAAAGGTAGGACTTGCAAAATATAGATTATTAACAAGATCACTTATTTCGTTAAAGGGAAGTAAAAAAAAAGTGGTAGGACTTACAAAAAATAGATTGTTAAATGTTAATAAGCACTTTTAAAGTGTTACATTCTCTTGCCAATATTGTTCAACAATATGTTGAATAAATTATAGAACTTGATTCTAAAAGTTAAAGTGGAGATATATTTGTTAAAATGAAAACAATTTACAATTGAAGATATGTTGATTACACATTAATAATGAAATCTAACGCAGAAGAATTATATCCTATTTATATAATACCATTAATATACCATTCATCGACATTATAACCAAGAAATCAAAAATTACAAAAAAATAATTTAAGTATATATTTATAATAAAGAATTCTTATTTTACTCTATAGCGAATTTATTAATTTACAAATGCATCTTCTTCTTCTAGGTGCCTTGTCCGCTTCGAACGTTGGCTAACATGATTGCTATTTTGACTTTATCTACAGCGTCTCAAAAAATTGATCTTGTACTTTTATTGAACCATTGACGTAAATTCTTCAGCCATGATATATTTCGTCTTCCAGGACCACGTCAAAAATACAAAAATAAATAAAAGGATTATATATGTGTATTAGAGAACTGCAATGAGTCATAATCTTAAGACTCAGAGTACACTCATAAAAAAACCAAATCTAAATGCATATAAATGTTTTTCTCACACATAACTCATATGCATTCACATTCGCCACAGAAAGTGTCACAGATTCATAAGTGTTTTCATTAACGAATGCCGGTGCTAATTAATCAGTTTCACAAGAATTCGTACACATTTCTAAGTACAGTAGCATAAATGGCAAATGATTCATGAATCATAGCATATACTCAGGTGAGTATAAATATACTCATCGAAAATAAATGACTCAAATGACTTGTAGCATTCGTAAAAATTCTGTGTGAGCGCTGTTGTTTGCTAAGCAAAAAAATGTGTGTTTTTAGTTTTATGCTTTTATGCTGGTGTGTGTTCCTGTTGTTAACATTGTAAATGCATGAGTGTTGTTTGTATTTTTGATTTGTGTTCATATGCATAAAATTAGAAGTTGTTTTGGTAGCAAATTATATGCACAGTAAACAACAACAAAACAATTTTTTCTGACTGTAACGTAATACTCATGAAAGGTTTATGAATCATTGGCATTACTTTTGTGTCGAATGCCCGCGTTAATGAGTATCATATGAACAGAGTATGAATTATTATAAGTACTGTAACCTGTGTGTATGAATCAAGTGGAGTTGAATGTACGAGCGTCAGAATGCATATAAATGAAACACAGTAAATGATTCGAGTATGATTCAAGTGTTAAGTGCTCATTGCAGCTCTCTGATGTGTATTAAATTTGAAAACAAATTCTTGACAATTTTTTAAATATTTTTTTGTTTAGCAATTTATTCTATTGATACATTTGTATACATTTTAAAACAATAACACAAGAAGAACAAGATTAATACAAGGACACTATTGGATTTATCTAACAATTTGTATAAATATATGTATATAAACATGTTTGTACATATATGTACATGAACTTACAACACTACGTTAACTGATGTTTCAAAACATATCCTTTTATTTGTAGGTTGTTCCTACTAGGAACCAATATATTATATTATAATTTACTTATTTAAATTGAAATAAAAATCTTTTTCTATTTAATGCCCTTTGTATTTAACAAATAATTAATTTTTTATGAAGTAACCTTTTTGTGGGCAGTGTATGCTTTTCAATTAGAAAATAAATTTAATCAATATAATAAGAGGTAGCGGGAAAGGATGGTTTTTGTGGTAGCTAAATATATTTCAGTAACTTATCTTTTTGCGCAATTTAAGCGAAATGTGTTGTTTCTCCCGCTCGGCGGCTAAAGCGGCAGCTGCAGCAATTTTGACGCTGCGCTGTAAATACAAACCGTGTGTGCCATGGATGGCACCGCTCGATGTTGGAGTTGGTATGCCCGAAGTTGATGCTGATGATGTGGATGACGCTGTAGAAGATTCAAGCGCATTCGCGGCAGCTGCATGCAAACGGCGCGTTAGAGCAGTAGTTACCTTAAAGCTTGCTGTGGTGGGTGCACTTGACATTGATGAAGTTCCAATTGTTGTTGTTGTTGTGGAAGCTGCGGTGACAATAACGTTATTATTATTATTGTTATTGTTGCTGTTATTATTGCTGTTGCTGTGGCAATTATCGTTACCATTGCCATTGCCATTGTTGTTGTTGTTGTTGTTGTTGTTGTTGTTTTCACCAATTTCAGCCACATTGTTGCTGGTTGCTCCTGTTGCTGTCGTTGACGTTGTGGTTATTGTTGTTGTGGTCTTACGTAGTAATTTGTTGTTGTACTCATCATATTTATCCTTTTCGATCCGCGTACTGCTCAGTGAACGTTTGTTACGTTTTACGATGCTATTGTTTTTACGGTTATTATTATTATTATTATTATTATTAATATTGTTGTTGTTGTTAATATTATTTTGATTGGTATGGCTATGGCTATGAACTGGTATACCAGTGGGTGTACCACGGATTTGTGTTGCTTCAGCTGCAGTGGCGGTGATATCAATCATTTGGTTACGATTAAGTCGATTTGAATCTAAAGGTGGTGTGGAATGTAAGTTAGCATTTAACTCAGTTTCATTTGTTGTTGTTGTGGTTGTTGTATGGTTAGCATTAAGATTTTTGTAATTGTTAGTATTTTTATTGTTATTTTTGCATAGGGGGGACTTAGAGGAATTAACTTGGGAGATACGTTCTTCCAGCAGTTGTTGTTGCTGTTGCTGCTGGTGTTGTTGACGTTGTTGTTTAGTTAACGTCGTTGAGGTAGGTGCTAAAGTTGTATTTTGTAAAGAATTTGAGTTTAAGTCAAGTGTTGCCGATAAAGATCGATTACTATTAATATAACTACCAGCACCAACACTACTACTACACTCACCACCCCCACCACTATCCTCACCACTATTAACACCAATAACTACTGCTACCGTAGTTGGTATCGCAGTTGACAATGTTGGTATAGCTGAAACGTCGCGATAGTAACGTGCTGTGACTGTAGTGCATGGCTGTATATTATGCTCAACATTGGGTACTGAAGCCATTGTGGTTACCGGAGCGTTACGATGATAACGTATACGGGATCTGCCACGTAAAGTCATATGATGATGTGGTGCACGTGCTCCACGTGTCGGTGGTATTGTTGCAGAAGATCCTGCTGCTGTGTTACCATCGCAATTGCTAGCCGTTGGTTTGTTGACACAGCTACTCGTCACATTTAGGTCATACAAAGCGGCTGTGCTACGTACAATCGGTATTTTACTTTCATTTGGATTGGCTGAGTTAGCAGAGTTCACTAATGCATTGTTATATGTTTTAGTTTGCTTATTAAGGCTGCTTAGTGTAGGAGCTGTGACATCATGACAATTACTATTGCTGTTATTATTGCTGTAGCTATTTACGTTGGCAATACCTAAATTTGCTTGTTGCTGCTGTTGAGCTTCAACTTTACGAAAATGGATTAGACCCATTCTTTACGAGTTTTATTTATTAATAAAATTATTTCAAATTATTAATCGCAACAATTCCCAAGAGCAGTAAGAAAATGAGAGCAAAGAGTATTGAAAGAGAAAAAGAGAAAAAAGACAAATTTTGATTAAAATTTTGAAGTTTCACTGTTTGATGGGAGTTTCAGTAAATAATAGTACACACAAATAAATGAAGTCAAAATATCATATATAAATATTCTATAAATATAAATCCCGTATGGTTTTACAAAAATTTGATTTAACAAACAATATATAAAATTTTTAATAATTTGCCAATAATTTAATTGAATTCTATTATTACATACAATAATATAATATATTAAGTGATTGATAAGTTTCTCCGAAGAGAAGGTGTTTTAGTATATAATATAATATAATATAATATAATATAATATAATATAACATAATATAATATAATATAATATAATATAATATAATATTATAATAATATATAATATAATATATAATATTATAATAATATATAATATAATATATAATATTATAATAATATATAATATAATATATAATATTATAATAATATATAATATAATATATAATATTATAATAATATATAATATAATATATAATATTATAATAATATATAATATAATATATAATATTATAATAATATATAATATAATATATAATATTATAATAATATATAATATAATATATAATATATATAATATAATATAATATAATATAATATAATATAATATAATATAATATAATATAATATAATATAATAAAATATAATGGAATATAATATATAATATAATATATAAAATCATGTAGGTTTTAGTTATTAACTATTTTCTTAATCCCGACTGTCAGGTTAATCCTTTTCTAACACTATACATTTTGGTGGTATATTCTAAACAAAGGACTATACTACTAAATCGAAATCTTTGGAAATAATGTTTAATATTGTTTGAGTCATAAGGACCACTAGATAAGAGAGTACTCTTATCATGAAGTTCGTATAAAAGTATTATTAATATTTAAGCAGAAGATAAACTAGTTGGTTTAACAACTGTAACTATTTTGACTACTAACAAACCGACAACTAACGACTATGTCTATATGATACGCTTGGAACCCCAAAGCGTTTGAATGTTTCAAATCTCTTCACATCGACATAAATCATATAAGAATTAAAATAATATGTAAGGCGTAATATTCTCAACATATTCAAACAATAATGTGGTTTCAGACTACTGGATGTCTACAGCATATTTTAAGTTGAACTAATAGCTACTTATAAGTTGGCATGAGAAGGATAGTTTTATGTATGAAATATAAACTGGTAACAAATCACTTTACAATTGTGAAGATGATGGCAAAGTGGTAATGTTTCTTATATTTATATATAATAAGTTATTTCTTGGAAAAGCAATAAGTAAGTAAATCGCAAGTAAATTTGCGATAAGGATGAGAGTTATTAGACGAAATTTTTATCGAAGTTCTGATTAGGTAAGTACGTAGAAGCATGGAATATGAAAATTTATTATAATATCTATTAAACAATTACCTTTTTAAAAGATTTTTATTTTAACATATTGGTGATATAATCATAACTCACATATTAAAAGGGTTCGGTTGGATGTTTAGTATTCAGTTATTTAGTATATATATAGAAAATTATATATGAGCCTAAAATATACGAGACTAAAAAATACCTGTTTAGTTCTCTTAGAGTATCGCAATGGATAGCAGACTTTATATAATGGACAGCAATTCAAGTTAAGTCTAATATAATATAATATATTAATATATGTTATTAATATTAATATATTAATAACATTTATATTAACACATAACATAGAGTATTATATATAATTATTAATGGGTCAATATATATACAATATAAATATAAATTTTACAGTAATATTACATAGTATAAAATATATGAATAAATGTTTTATTTGTGTGTGACTATTAAATAAATAATAATTTGTAAAGAAAATCGAACAATGATTTAAAACTATATGTCCAAATAAAACGAATATTAAAACAGGACGATGTTTTTAAAGGATAAACAAATCGAGCGGTTAAATAATGAAAAAGGAAGAAACAGGTCAATAACAAAAAAAAAGGTTCAATAAATTCAAAAATCGCAATTTATAGTGCAGAGATTTGGTATTTGCATGCAACATGTATAAATAGATATAGTTAATGGACCACACAGAAGAACATGATGATATATCACAGAAATAAAAATATTTCTCTAAAAATTATTTCGTAAAAAATAAAACAAAAAGAACATTCTTATTTCATATATTTATAATTTAATTAAATTTTTTGATATATATTTTTATATATAAAATTAAAACAAAAATATTTATTTATATTTTTAAAATATATATTTTTAAAATCAAAACAGAAGCTAAAATGGTTCTGATAAGAAAAATGAATTTATAAATATAATACATATTTATTTATTAATATTATATATTTGGTTTAGATGGACAGTCTGTCGAAAAAAATTTAAACAGGGTCTGTTGGAAGCACCCAACAATATTAATAATGTCTTTCGAGCAGAATATATTACAACGCATACTCTAGGGTGGGTGTTCGAAATATTATACGCCGACGGTAGAAATGAAAGCTTTGGATTTTTTTGTTGCTTCTAATTTCTTCTTATTTTCTGTTACTTTTTCATTTTTTTTTCCTCTTTAACTTCTTCTATTACTGCTTTTTGCTTGAAACTTTTCATTTTAGCAAGAAGTAGTCACTGTGAACTAGATCTGTTCATAATATATAGAGTATAACCGGGATGACCAAATAATTTGAAACGCAGTTTGGAATATCGACTACAGAACTGCCAAAAAAAATTATTTTATATTGACAATAAAGACGTTTTTTGATAATTATAGTGTTCAAAATATTTAGTTATAAATCAAGAGCATGTTCTTGTCATTTCAAAAAACGGTAGCTATAAGCGACCAATTCGCGTCGGAAAGCCTGATCGTTCTCTTCTTCGGTGTTCTTTCATATGATTCTGTCCACTGTTCTGATATCTCGGTTTCTGATTGCAGTGATAGATCCGTATTTCAGCAATTGTTGTAAGAGAATTTTAGTAATGCAATATTTAAGCGATTGCGTTTTTTAACTAAGGAAAGTAAATGCAGTATCTTTTCTTTTTTCTTATTTTGTTTCGACCGTCATTATGTATCACTTCATGAGGTTTTTTGATGTTTCCGTTAGTGGTGACAGTTTTTGATCGTCTAAAATGGTCTTGACTAACTTAGCTTGTACGTTTAAAAAATTTTTTATTTATTATTGCATAGTACAAAGTCAGTAAATTTAATCTAAGCGCTATTAATGAGGTATATTTTTTAAAAATACAATAAATCAAACACAGCGAGAAGATACTTACTTCTCAAGATTTTTCTAAACATTTAAAGTCAGTCAATGCAAAATAAATTATTGACAACAACGTATGTATCTGCTACATAATTTTTCGAACACCCTACGTATGATCAATAATGGGGAAAGGAAGAATATGTATTTAATTTAATAGTTCATTCAATATAGAAAGCGTTTAACTTGACATAAACTCAAATTGTGAAATATTTTATTTTTTGTAATAAATTTCTTGAAATTAAATTAAAACGAATAGGGAAAGCACATGCAATAAGGACTCTTCACTAAATTGCGATAATAGTTAAGAAAAACAAATTAAACAATAGCAAATATAAAAGGACAAAGCATATTACACAGCACAACTAATATAACAATCAAAAATAATCAAATGCAAATTATATATATATTTTTTTTTTTTATTTTTACGTTATTGATATATTTATTTAAAACATGTTTCACAAAATTAATTTAGTAGTGAAGGATAAAGCTTAGCATTATGTTTGCCTTTGTTACTATATGGTATTAACTATTTTTTAGTGTTATATATAATAATAAGCAAAAAATGTTTACTCATATCTATTGTAAACATGTTGCTGGCAAGATGTTCAATAGTCATATGCGACTAACAGTATGATCGATTGTTTTCTAAGCATGTTGCTGGCTCTATAGCAACAAAAATACTATTTTTTATAGGCAAAAATAATACTAAACTGTGTACTATATATAGGAAGTGTATAACTTATATATAACATTTATAATACAATTTATTTTAGTGATTTTGGGTTTGATTCGTTCTTGATTTGCGATAGGTTTTCTTCAATAGTTTGCAAATCTTGACAATTAAAAAATAATTATTAGTAAAAATTTAGATATTAGTAATGTGAAGTACACATACGTATTATGAATTAATTTTTTTTGTTTTAACTAAAGATTTGCTATTTCTTGAATGATATTTGCTGTAATTTATTGGTATTCAAAATCTGAAGTCCTTTAAATATTGAATAAATCTTAATTAAAAAAAATACTCTTTATTGATATTTTTAGTACTAAAATGTTTTCATTTCAAATATAAAAAATATTTCGGATATAGCATCAAAAGTAACCACGATTTTTTTTTTGTAATAAAAATTAATCTTTTAATTGAAATTAGTTATAAAATGTAAAATTGTTGATTTTAAATATTTTAAAAGTTGAAATTTAATTTTTTAATTAAGTTATTATTCCAAATCTTAATTTTAAATGAGGTCAATAGTGCTTAAATTTTCAAAATATTCATATATAATATATACTATATTATAATTTATAATATAAATTATAGAATTAAATAAAATTCTATTTTAAAAATTTACATTCCTGTTGTTGTAAATTTTTAATTGGATCAATATTTGTTTATATTCAAACTAATCCAGTATTTGTTAATGTTAAATATGGTATAGGGGGCAATTGAAAATTAGACTCTTATGTAAATTTATGTAGGTTTTTGGGAACTGTAATAAGCACACAGCTTATGTAGCTATTATAGTTAAATAAAAAAAAAATTTTTTGTTTGAATGATTAAAAACTGGTCTGATATCTTTACCCATCTTCAAAGGGCTTTACTTATATAAACATCTACATAAACCTATAAATTTTTGATACACTTATCAATTTTTCTTCCTAAACTTGCAGTAATCATCAACTATTTTAAATCTAATATAATATAGGTAAATTAATATAGTACAAGAAATTAATTCAAGAGAATAGACAGACAACATTAGTTCGTAACTTTATGTTTTCTTTAAAAAAGGGTTATAAAGAGAAACTTTTAATAACGAAACTAGATATTTAGTAAACTTAAGTGCTAAAAAGAGAAAAAAACAATGAAGAAAATTTATAAGAAAATCTTCATTCAAATAAGATCTGGAACTTAATAATCTTAAACATTTTTATAAGTTTAAAAAAGTTTTAAATCGTTCGGTATACGTTTTATACTAAAAATATCTTATTATAAATATTTTTATATTAAGTATGTAGGTATGATTTTATATTATTTACCTTTTTTCGATTTTATATACATTTCAATAGAAGTGCTACAAGGCAAATTTAAATAAATTAAGGAGATTAAAGCATTCTTTAATGCGAAATATTTTATATAAATTGTATTAAGTGCTGGAAATATATTTTTTTATTTTATTTTATTTTATTATCATTTTTGTTATATTATTCTATTTATTGCATTTTATTTGCTTAACTTTAATTTATTTTATTTTGATTCATTTTATTAGATTATTTTTTATATTTTGTTATTAATTAATTAATTACACTTTATTCTATTCTATTTTATTTTATTTCAATTATTATTTTATTATATTTTTTTTAATATATTTGAAATTTTCAATTTCAATATAATGTATTACGCTTTATTTTATTCTATTTTATTTTATTTCAATTATTATTTTATTTGTTTTTTTATTTTAAAATATTTTAAATTTCAATATAATTTAATATAATATAATTTTCTTTATTAGTTTTTAGTAAATTTATTTAAAAGTTAAAACTTTTTAATTAGATACAGTGTGAAAATAATTTTTTAATTTAATTTGAAATATATTAAAAAATATATAAATTAAAAATATTTGTTATCATTGACAAATAAATTTATTTTTAAAATCCGTTTTGAAGGAATAACTAAATTCTTAGTAATACATAAACTATTATTTTCAATAGGGAGGTATTTTTGAACAGTAGTAAATTACGACTATAAAATTTTATTATTTATTAATTAATTTTATTAATTTAATTAACAAATAAATAAAATATGCAAAATGACTTGTAGCGTTGCTATTGAAAAATGTTTTTTATGAAAAATTATTTGACATAAAAGCTAATCAATTATATTTAAAAAAAATTAACTATTTCCAAATTATTAAATTAAAATTTTAATTTAAGATTATAAATGAATAATTAAAATTTTAACATATAATATACTAAAAAAAAAATTGTGAAATTTGTAAGGTGGACTTTTATGATAGACTCATAAACTTTTGTATTATTTTTTGGTGTAACAGTGACTCTTATTTAATATAATTATTTTTTTTGGATATTAATATTAATTATTGGTTTATTGTGCTTGGTAATAAATACAATAAAAAATTATTATTTTTGTATATTTTATATTTACATTTAAGTATAATACTTACACATAATATTTATATATAAATGATAATATATAAATTTTTATGTGTTATATAAATTTATATATAAATTATATATATAATATTTTAATGTTTTTAAAATGTAATTAAATCTTTAAAAACACCATAATCACAAATAACTTATATAGAAAAGATCTCCAGCACAGCCATATGAAATATAGTATTATTAAAATATTTTTTTCGTACACAAACTTGTACCGTTTAACATCACGATAATCTATTACATCTAAATTATATGTATTTGGTATATATTTGACTGAAAGCTGCTTAAAACTGATAATGATTTACTTTTTGCTTTAGATGCAGATAAACAATTATAAAAGATAATGACACGAAATTATTTAAAGATACTACTACAAAGCTTTAAGGAATAATCATTATATAATAAGAGATACTTAGACAATATATAGATCTGTAACATTGTGAAAATGGTTTGAATATAAAACCATGAATATTGTACTTTATGAGAGGGAGAGATCAAGATAAATTTTAGATAAATTTTTGAATAAAGCTATTAATATTTTGAACACTGAATATTTGTACTTTATTAGAGGGAGAAAGTGAGAGAGAAAGATATAGAGAGAGAGAGAGAGATGTTTTAGATAAATTTTTGAACAGAGCTATTAAGAACATTCTAGTGACATTCTATAGTAAACTTGAAAAATTTTATTAATATGAATTATAATTATAAGAACATATTATTTTAAAAGAACTTAATTTACAAGCAGTTAATTCTTAGGAAAACTATTTATAACACATTTTTTTATTTATATCATGAGATTATTTCTTCTTGTAGATATAACATAAAGACCTCTGTCATAATATCGTAATAAGTTAATATTAAAAAAAATAAAGAATATGCTTTGTTTGTTGTTGTTGTAATTCGTAGAGATCTATCAATATAAACACAGGATTTAGAATCTGATTCGATAAAGGTAGAGTCAGACGAGGAGGAGGATATATTTCTATATTTTGTGTTGTAACTATATATCTTTAAATAAATTTTGATAAACACATGAATAACTTTTATAATTTATTTTTTGATGAATAAATTATTAAAAATAAATCACTAATTAATCACATCTCATTTTTTATTTCTTTAACTAATAATAATGTTCTTTATATAATTTATTGCTCTCTTATTGTCGATCGTGTACTTTCTAGTTTATTTTAAAATATTTTTCAATAATTTTAGTTTTAATTCATAGATCCATTATTTTAAAATTATCTCGGATAGAATAATGATATTAATAGTTTTTTAATTGTAGCCTTGCTCTATTGTTGACTCTGGATATCTTTTTATATAAGTTATCTGTATTATACAAGTTCAAGCTATAAAGTTAGTAACTCCATAAACTGCAATACTAAAAGTAATAGATTAATATTGTAGAGATGTAGTATGAACTAAATCTCTATAATTATAATATGCTTCTATACTTTGTTGTACGTTAGAATTTAAAGTATTATTGTTAATCTATTCAAAATTTTATAGATAAAACAATGTTGTTACTATAAATTAAATATGGCTAAAAAGTAGTGGATGGAATGAATATATAATAAATTCATATTTAGAAGTATATATGTGTATATAGATATATATATTCGGGCTTCAAATAGTATTCGAGCTGTTCAAAGCTTAGAGGATTTTAATACTCTTAGATGTGGCACAAGCAGCATGTGTTCTTACTTCATATTGTGAGAATATTTTAGAGTAGTTTGAGCATTTGAAGTGTTCTATTCAAATATTCGAAATCGAATAAATTCGAATCGCTTCTGCACTTTGAAACAAATATATGGATAATATATTTAAATAAATTCTGATAATAAAATGTTGTTTTTAGTATATTTGTAGAGTGTTTTTAGTGGTTTCAATAGAAGAAACATATATAGAGTAAATATACGTTTAGAAATATATATATGCGTTTATTACATATTCAAATAATAAACATTTAAAATATTATTAAAATATAAAATTAAACTATTTTTCAGATATATTTGAATTTTTTTTTGAGACTCAATTTTTTTTTAAAGGAATTTAAATATTTTAATAGTAATAATTAATTTATTTGCTTTTTACTAAGTTTAATTATGAAAATTACTAACTTTCGCTTGAGCTTTTCTTTTATTAAATAACAATATTTAGTAGCAATACAGTATAGTTTCATTATATCTTAAAATTATTATCAAAACAATTAAATATATTTGTGATATATTTTTTTAACTGATATCGGTTATTTGTTATAGCTAAATAAAATCTTTTTTAGAATGGCAACAATTGATAAAACCTTTTCATGAGATACATATAGTAACAAGCATATGTAACAATTAAAATATTAAAAAAATTTCAATAACTTAAATTTAATTTATGTTAATTTATAATTATTAATAATTGCACTTAATAATTTAATATGTGATTGGAGTAGATATATTTAAATTAAGTAAGTCAATTTAAAAAATTGCAGATTAATTATTATTAATCTTATACTACATATATTAAAACGAGTTGAACTCAAAATTCGAATTATAGTTATTAGTTCTAATAGTACGTTTCCACTGACTTCGTTACCTTACTGAAGATTCAAGTAATTAAAGCAATCTTAAGTAAGTTAACTGGTCTAACGAAATCAGTGGAAACATTCAATTATAACGGTTGGAAAAGAGCGGGTTGTTGTACCTTTGCTACCAACTCTTTAAAAAATTGGTTCTTTTATGAAATTATAGTAAATTTCTCTGCCTCTTAAAAATAGACTTAATTAATTTTTTGTAGAAAGCTTGCAAGACTGTACATCTTTAAATAGTTGAAAGCATTTTTGAAATTATAGTTAAAGGATATAAAGCAAGAACATTAATCTGTGTTGTGAGTAGGATAGTAATGGCAAAAATTGTATTATTTGTTTGTTTATTAAAGAAATGTTTTCTATGAAAAACTGACTCACCTCTTGGTGTAAAGGGCGAGACTACGTGCGCGAGTTATTACCGAATTTCCATTACCATTACTAGTTGCAGTTGTAGCTGAGGTTGATGATTGCAAGTTATTTGTATGATTTATGTTTTGGTTAACATTGTTGTTGTTATGACTATTAATGTTAAGATGATTATTGTGAATATTGTTGTTATTAGTTAACGTTGTGACACTATGTAGAGATGCAGTTGGAGTGATTGATCTCATACTGGCCGATACAAATTCCGCACAATCCGGCTTAAGGGGTGATGCTGATGCAGCTAACATATTTGTTGTATTGCAACTATTGCGAAATGGTTGAGAACGTGCACGGGTATAACGTATCGCTTGTTCATTTGGATCTCTGTTAAATACAAAAAAAAAAAAAATTACATTATTCAAAATTTAAATCAAATGAATTATAATATGCGAATTCAACATATTAAGTTTTTAAATGATAAGTTTGGTTAGTTTTGAAAGATACAAATAATAATGCCTCTTAATATTATTGACTAGATAAAAACTTGTCTGAGCATTTCGGATATGAATAATTTTGTTATAGTATAGTATCTCTCTACATTCACATTAAGATACAGTGTTACAGTGACATAAATCAAGCAAAATTATAATCTTAATTCTGAATTAGTTACTCTACTCCGTTCCAATATATGAAAAATAATGCATTCGATTATTTCTGCCGATTTCATGAATCTACGTCCCCAAGTCACTCATCGAGTTCGATGGCCAAGTACCGTTTAACACCTACAAAGGTGCATACACAAGCAGATCGTTATGGGCTACAAAACAACATTTCTGCCGAAGTTAAAATAAGACGGAAATGTTAACACCAATTTAATTTTGATTTCTTTACGTATATTCAGAAGAATATCAGCTGATATAAAGATTAGGCAATTGCATTGCATTTTTATGTGCGAAGTATTTAATGATCGGATTGAACTTATGTTGTTTGTTGATTACCTAGAAATCATTTTTTCTATGTTCTGTCGTTCACATTTTTTTAATTGCTACAATTATTTAGACTTATGCCATATGTTTACCCATATGCCATTTTATTAATAAGGGTCGTTTAATAATGTGCACAACGTGTAAAAATTGTGAAAATTGACTATAAAATTGGTACAAACTTTCTTCAGAGATAAGGCTAACTTTTTACTGGATATGCCAACAATCAAAAAAGAACCATCAAGGGCTATGAAAAATCATACGTAACTGTCTAAAAAAACATTACATCTACAAAAAAAAAGTCACGTGAAGGAGTAGTATTTGTTGTGGCGGTGTGATAAGTTCATACTTTTTTGAAAATGACGAATGTATGATAGAAAACATTAGTTCTGATCGCTATAGATGTATCAGATATGAGGTTTCGACGGAACGTTATCACAAGCCGTACAACGTGAAATGTTTTGGTTTTGGCTATGTTAATGAGCCATCAAAATCATGCGTTTTGTGGACAATGGATATTTTTATTGAGGAATTGGCCAAAAGATCGTTTTTAAGCAGAAAATTTTCGGTGATTTAAAAACAAGAAGTCAACAAGTTATGACTGAACTCAAAATAATCTTAAAAGGATCCAGTAACTAACATATAGCGTAAATAACATTTGAATAATATTGTATTTTAAACCTAAAGATAAAGTCCTAAAAATACATTAAAATAAATTTTAATTCGAAACCTACTACTACTAATTTTAATCAAATATAATTAAAATAAAGTATAAAAATAGTAACAAAGTACGCACTGTGTTGATTGAATTGCACGTGAATTATGTTGACGTCTCATTGCCTTGATTTGATTTAGTTTATCACCCTGGGTTTGAGCATTCTTCCTATCAATCGCCGCTTGTGACATGCGAACAGTTGATGCAATTGTTGGTCTCTGTGCAGCCTCCAGTAAATGTGATGGTTTCTTCAATTTTTTCTCAGAATAAAGGGGTTCCACATTAAAGGCCGCAGCACGTTGAGTGTTTATATCTATAACTGTTGGCGATGAACGTGAAACAGCTGGTAGTAAACGTTCATTACTGTCAACAGCAGCCAATGTTACAACATTTTGACCAAAATGTGGTGATTTACGCCTGCGTGCATCACTTGTGCCATTGCAGTCAGGATTAAATTCACCCTTTGATTCTTCATTATCATCGCTGCCACAGCTACCACCACTTGCACCACTGCCACCACTTCCACTAGCACCAACAGTATAAGTTTTTGGAGCATTACCATAAAGGCGATACCTGATTTGGACGCAGTTCACAGTTTGTGTATTACCAGCGTTTTCATCTATGGTTTGTTCGTCGTTAAGATTCATGGTATCCACTTTGCGAGATATACCTCTAACACGTGACGATAAGACATCGGCATTTTCGTTAACTAAAGAAGGCACTGTGTTGTTTGGTTTGGTTTTTATATCTACGCTATAAATGCCATATTTATGATACGGAATGTCAGTTGAGGTACGTTTACGCATACGATCGCCTTCTGTCCAAAGCCAAGCCTGTTTGCTATATGAAAATAAAATAAATTTGTGTTATTAAAAATGTTAACCAAAAATTAAATTATGAAAAAAAAACTATAATTTACTCCTCCATCCATTGTTGCTGATGTCCAATAACAGAACCAGGACGACATAAGCGTAACCAAGCAATAGCTTCCAGAGCTGTGAAATTATAATGCTTCATTATATAAGCACCAATCAAACTGCCTGTACGTCCCAGTCCAGCTAAAATTTAATAATAAAAATATTTATATAATGAAAAAACAGAAACACGTAATATATAGAAATATATAATAAACACTCAAACTAACATATATATAGGTTTTTATTTTAATAACTATCTCACCTTTACAATGGACAGCTATGGCACCTTTTGTATTCTCACAGATTTGCAGAAACTTCTTCAATATCAAATCACTCGGTGTACTGCCGTCTGTGAAGAATAAGTCCTTATGTTCAAAGCCGGCATTTTCGAAACAGGAGGCGTGGTAAGCTTTTGCATTTAGACGAATCACAGTAGTAACGTTGTTTTTGCGAAAATAATCAAAATAGGTTTCGGGCGAATGACACGGGTAACCGTTTGCCATAACTTTTGTTTTTTGATGTGGTCCACAAAAAGCGATAAATTTTTGTGGCACAATCCAATTAAAGTCACCATTTTCGACCCGTTCATAACGTTCATATTCGGCAGCATTAAAATCATCAAAATTAAAAAAACCAGCGCTCAGCGCCTTTTGCACAGCATTCAAGACGTCGATGAGAGAGATTTTAAAGTTACTTGGACCATAAGATGCATCGCAAAAACGTGTATATGGCGGTATGTCACCAGCGGTTAAAACATTATACACTTCCTCTGGTGTCTTCTCCAAATATATAATCTAGAAATAGCGAAATTGCAAATAATTAATTATAAATATTAAATAATATTTAATATCTTAGGAAGGCGAAATACGCATTTAAACTTACTGCATACGAACCAATCAGGCAGGCAGCATTCAATCGTTTTGCCGCATTCATCGATGTATAATGTATAATTCTTTTGTTTTCACATGATTTTGACAGTACCTTTACATTTAGTTTTTGGCTATAGCGGAATAACATACAAAGATTTAACGGTCCAAAATCATTGTAAAAATTTTCGTATATAAAATCATCATCACTGCTAAAATAGTGTGTATTGGCTGTGTTCCTGGGTTTCAAATATTTCTTAAAAGCAACAAAATATAAACGATCTGGAAAAGGAAAATAAATTATATTTTAAAATTTATTATTTACCTAAATATTTGCTTTTTAAAATATAAAATTTTTTTAAACTATAGTTTACACTCTTATTTAACTGAGTAATATATATGTTTGACTACTATGGCTTTTGTAGTCAATCAAAGAGCATGCATAATTAAATTTGCAACAATAACTATGTTGTTACGCGTCCTATAGGAGCTTGTTTGTGTGTACAAAATTCATGTCAGTGGATTAAAATAAAGTATCTGCTTTAAGTGAATTATTGAAAAATAAAATTTTGTAAACCAATTATTGATTTTCAGCAAATTTATTTATGCGAAGGACACATTCATCATGCTTGCTTCGCTCACTGACGTCGGGTATTGTCAACATAAGCCAATAGCTGAACACATTTGTGAAATGTTAATATTTTAATAAAAAAAGATAAGATAATATGGAGCTAGTTAAGGACTTCACTGAGTTCTCTATTTGTGAGAATTATTTTATCTTTTAATACTATTTTTTGGTACGAATAATTATATACGAAAATTTTTGGCTTAATTGTAGTTAGCTATAGTATATTTAAAATTTGTTGTTTTTAATGATTTAACTGGATGATTAATATTGCTTGACCACATTCTAATACCGAGTACCATATATATTAAGTTTTAGCTGTCTATTTAATCAGTTTCATCCGTTGATTAGGGACCCCCAATACTCTACTTGAAAGTTATACTTTTTTATTTTAATTTTTATTCAAATTCCTCGCACCGCTTTCAGTAGTTTCTCTTTCTTTTCAGTTTAGGAACTGAACTCTATTATTATTCGAACTCTCGGTACAGTTAGTGCGGAATACTCATAAGGTCTCCACTTTAGCTCTTTTGTATACTTTTTTTTGACAAAAAGGACTGAGCGTTCTTAGATTTCTCCTCTATAACATTGGTGTTAAGATTCAAGTTATATTTTAAAGTGGTAGTGGATTCGTCTTAATTCATGGTCTTAATAATACTTAAAATTGATTATATGGAATTTGATTTAGGTGGTGATAATTATCCGAGCTCTAGTTTGTTGAGTTTAATAAGTGACTGGAGGTCTGGACACAAAATTAAGGTTAATCAATAATAATAATATACCCAGGAATTTTTTGTTTGTTTAATATTTAAATTATTGAATATTTTAGAAAATAAGCTCTAGAAATTTACATTTATGACTATTTAACTCATAGCCCAGTTCTTACGTTATATAACTTCATAGCTGCAGATATTCTTAACTGATATTATTCTAGTTTCACCGGAATAATAGTAAAAGATTATGGATTAGAAATTTGCATATTTATACTCAAACAATAAAGTTAGTAATAATATACGAGTATGGTTTTCCTTATCAGAATGACTTCTGCTTCAAAATATTCATTGCATTTATTTATTAAATGTTTTTCTAACAACGAATATTGTTTTTGTATGGTTGAAAACGTTTCATAAATTTGACTTTAGTGCATTTATAGGGAAGTGAAACCCTTAACAACGTTTGTCATTTTAATAAACAATGCATTTGAGCTGAGCTCATGATAATTGTTTTCTGTGGATATTCGTAAGTACATTATATGAAAACCCAAACGATTCGCACTATAAATACTTTATGAACTACCTTGCAGTAAACCTTACTGCTTTACTAGGTTTCTTGCATGTATGTCGTATATAGTTCTATTCTTGCATGTTTAACTATAAAAAGTAACAAATGTAAAGGAGCTCATTACAAGTTTATTGTTAGAACTTCGTAACGAAAATACGGAACAAGGAAAAAATGCATAACTGTGGCAACCTCAAATGTCAAAAGGCGGTATTTTACCGTATGTTTATGATATTTTTCAAGTAGTTTAGTGGTTTTAGTTTATCAATATAGCTATACATAATGTTTTTTACGTGTTTAGTTGGTTTTTAGGCGACTGTGGCCAACATCACAACCGAATTGCGATACGTGTTTGTTAATAATGAATACAAATTTTATTCAATTGAATTTTTATTGAAAACAGAAAATAAAGTACAAAAAATAAATATAGAAAAAACGAACCTCTTGAATCAATAAACTTAATTTAATGGATAAATAAATAAATGTTCTAATTTAATTTTTTAAGGGTTAAAGGGATTTTTCCTGCAACAGTTGTTTTTATGATTTGATTCTGTTTCCAAGTCATTAATATTTAATACCCAAATAATTTGATTTGAATTTTCAAACAAGAAAGTTTTGTATATGTTTTTGGTTTCGAATTTTAATACGATTGGGTGGGTAGAAGTTTCCAAGTAGATAATAAGATACATTATATTTAATGCCTTAAATTGTTTTTACATGTAGCCCTTTATTCCTTCTCCGTTAACAATTCGTTATTTGTTGTATATTTGTAGAGACGAAAGCAGTTTTCTTTTCTTATGCTCCTATAAATATGCAATTGAAAAACATTATGTTAAATGTGTAATAAATAATTTTCACTTTAATTTTTGTGTGCTTCCCACGCGACTTTAATTATTACCAGCGTTGAAAGAAAATATGTCTTCTAATATATTATATATGGTATTATAAAAAAAAGGAAGAAGTAAAAGAAAAAGAAGACGAACATAAATGAAAATGATAACTAATTATGATACCTCAAATTTCTTTCTTAGCTGTCAATATCGATTTAGCCTCCAGAATACCCTACACATATTTCAAGAAAACTCTTTATATGACAGTTTAGCAATTAGTAGAGAAAAAGTAAAATCAAGAGCAGCGGATATGGGGTTGCATCTTCTTCTTTCAACTCAGCGGCTAAAATGCAATATAAAATAATGAACGCTGGCTCTGAGTTTCAAATTTGGCAGGGCACGAGTTCAATCCCTGGTACTTGCAGTCTCAAAAACAGAAAAATTATTTACGAATTATTAAATACAAGATATAATTCGATGACCGCTGGTGTTGGATATTTGACAATACTCAAGACAGCTGTATGGCTAGCCAAAAATTCAATTAATTAAAATAATATAAAAAAATTTTTGTTGTTGTAGCTCACTACTTTTCGAAACCTCTTTACCGCCATGATATTTATATTAATGACGATTCCTAATCTATTCATTCTTTATATTAAGTAAATAATTTATTTTGAATATAAACTTCATCTATGATCTATGAACATAGCATAGATCAACACATAATATTTCTGCTTTTTATATATATATATTCTTTTGCTAAATTATGTATGGGGTTTTAGAAAAATTAGTTCAACGTTTATTATTTACGATTGGAGTCGACCAGTAAGAAAAAAAAAACTCTGTTAGGATACAGTTACTTTATTTTTTTTTAAAGGATTGTAGGGGCGCAATAGATATAACGGTCGCAGTGCCATATCCAATATTAATACTTTTTTTTTAGGTATGTATCAATTATTTTTATTTAGACATAAATAGTTTATTTTTAAAATTGCTTTGAGTGCAATGTTCGAGTTTAACATTTTAACATAACGTTTTAGTTAATGCAAAATTGTATATCTTAGACATTTACAGATTCATATAATCAATTTGGAGAAAAATGATTACATAGATACTTATTTGTACTACTATACGGAATGTCTGCTGTCTGTTAAGATGGAACATTCCAAATATCTTAATTGACAATTTTCGGCAAGAAAGCTGCAGAGTAAAGCACTCACACTGAAAGTTAAGATGAATTAGTTATATAAAATTATATTAATATGGTATATACAAGACTATTACGCACCGCTGTATATAAAACAGGATCCACGCAACTTTGAAATTCTGTGACACGTCTTAAGATTTCTATCGTTTCGTTACAAGCATCGATGGTATACTGACATATAGCTTCCAATAAATTAGCTCCCATAAAAAATGCTAAAAGGGATGCAATCGTAAATGGGGTAGACACAGGATGAAAAGTGAGTTTTCCTGTGTAAGCCAACACAAACATATGTGAGGCACCAACGAAGCCGTAAAAGTAAGTGGTAATTGCGAAAACTATCTCAACTCTGTAAAGTCGCGTGAGGTGACGTATTATATTATAAAGTCGATTATGCTCAATTGATAGGTTCTCAATTTCGATCGATAGACACTTGAAGTCAAAAGTTTGATTATTTACTAACTGTCGAATTATTTGGTTGAGACGAATATTTATAGTTTCCATGTATGTAATAGCATACCATAGAGCCAAGATGAAATTAAAATAAGAACCAAGGAGCATATTGCCAAAATTATGATAAACTAATATCTCACAAACATTTATAGGCTTCAATTTCGTAGTGCTTTTCCATCTGAACCAAATTATCACAGCTATAGACATGATCAGAAATACAAATTTTATAGAAAAAAGTTTACTAATAATTTGCAAACGAGAAGTTGTTGATAGCACCGTAAGTTTTGGTCGAAACTTCAATTTAAATAAATTATTAAATATTTTAATTATTTCACGTTCTCGATGGTAGCGTCGTAGTATTGTGTACATCAGAAATATTAATCTCAGTACACTAAATGAGATCATAAACATTTGTGAAATATTTGTTGCTGCATAGCCAGTAGCTCTTGTGGACCACCTTAGCACACATCCTATGGAAATGAAAAATGCTACATTATGTATGAGTGCATATATCGCAAAAAATCTGGAATATGCTATGGTTTGCTTGTAGATATCAACAAAAGTTGTGTCGAGTCCAGTTAACAAAAAATAATATATCCTGCTAAGGAATAGCAAATCTACTTTGATTTTCATCATACCTTGAACAAATTTTAAAAAGGACTGAGATTGTTTTTCTAAGTGAACAACATAAATAGTTTGAATTAAAACAAACATTAACATTAAGGGGAAGCGACACATTCTATTAATATAATAAATCAATCATGTGACCACTTTGCTATGAATGACTTATCAATAATTGGATCGCAAGGACTTAAGGTTTGTCATATAACTTAAATTGTGTGCACTTTAATAAATTAAAATAAAACCATGATTAGGATCGGCTTATGAACACTGC